CCTACAGTCTTTGCAGGAGGATAAGGACATGGATAGAATCTCCCAAAAATCTGCATATTTTTAATAGAATTATAAAGAAAGTAATTGTTTTGATTGACACTGATGTTTTATACCTCTGGTTTTAATGATCTTAGATTTACTACTGTCATGTAAGTGATTTTTAGCTAGTTAGTTCCAGTGACAAACTATCTACAGTGAAAAGACTAATTTTCAGTAAAATACATATGACTAATATATGTCAAGTCAAGCAGAAGATGGTAGAATGACCATAATAGAACAGATAACACTAAGCATTCACAAGACCATAACTATAATAATGTCTGTCATTGTGTAAAAGTTGACCATACATTCATCATTTATTCCAGCTGCACACACTAAGGAATATATATTAATTAGTTTCTGATAAGGGGACAAAGAGGGCATAAAGAGACAATATGTTTAGAGCATTCACAAAATCATCCATGATCCAAGATGCCTAGTTCCTCTTTTGAGAAGAAAGCCCGTTTCCAGATCCAACACTGAGATGTCTTTGGCCAGATTCTCCAGCCCAGACATATCCCAACGTGGAGGTAGCTCTGGAAGAAGGTCATACAACCTCCAGGAGACCGAACATAACACAGGTTATTGATGAGGTCTGAGAAAATGTTTCTGCCTTGGATACCAGGTATTTTGGGGAGTCTTCAGGCACATCAGGGCTATATATTACACTCTTGAGAGGTTAGATCTCCTCATTCCAGCCCAAAGTGAAGTAAAAAGGCACTCAAAACATGAACCCTGGTGGTACAGGCTAAGAACACAGCTCAAGTGCCAATCTTTCATTTTCTACAGCCAAACAGTGAATGGTTGAGAGTAAAGTGATAATTTTTTCCACATAACAATAATCTTTCTAGAGGAATGGACCAGAAAATGTGACATTGAGATTATTAAATAAGCCTTATTAAGGAGGTCTTATGAAATTTCTGCAGCTACTCAGGTCACCGTTTCTCTGCAGTGAGTGCCTGTGGGACTTTCTGGCATTTGGTACACTGGCAAAGAGCTGTTCCCAAAGCAACACAACATGAGCCAACAGAAGACCTGATCAGATGGGCACTGAGAAGTAACAGATTGTGCAGTCAACTAAGAGTTGGCATCACGCTCACCAAGCTAGACCATGGCAAAAGAACATGTGAATGTGTAGGTCCTTCAAAGGGGGTGAGGATGTTGCTGGGCAGAGAGAGGTAGCCTGTCTAATCCAAGTGAAACATGACAGAGTTTAGACACACAAGAACTTCCTGCAGATTGCCACTCTGGTGGTGAGCCAGAGCTCCACAATGTTGCTCTGAGCATCAGATGAAGCTGAGATGAAATGAGATTTAATTTATGCCTGTATTTTGCCATGTTCAACTCTTTAATTATGTTAAAATACAAAAAGTTACAGACTTAAGCTGAAATAAAAAAATTATAATTAATACTTTCAAAACAAAGCCCAGCTAACAGTTTAGCACTCTCACATTCCCAGTGTTCTTCAGTTCGACCCAAAAGTGGCTTTCACAATGACAATCATGTTCTGACAACTTTTACAGTTACTGGGCAATGTGAAGAAGATGGCATACAGTGCAGAAGTTCAGAAAAATTTAGGTTAAAAGGTAGCCCAACTGCATGCTCAAAGGTGAGCTAACTTCAAAGCTGGATCAAATGCAGTTGCAGAACTGCTGTACCATACATCTATTAAGCGCCTGGATGAATTGAGGAAGAACTGCCACCTGCTCCTGGACCAGGATGGGATCCTGATTACCTTTTCTCTGGTGTTTAGGAACAACATGGGCTCCTAACAAACCAATAAAGTAGCTTCTCAATTGCTGAAATTAGGTGTCCAACTTGTTTATGCCCACAGCTGAAGAACACTGATCTCATCAGAGGTTTTTATTCTATGTACTGAGAACCTCTGAGAGACTCTAGGCACCATCACCAATTATGACTCACAACATTTTGGCTATGCTGTGAGACACAGAAGGGCTACAAAGAATACAGTGCTGAAATCAAAACAGTGTCAGCACCAGGACAGAGTACCTGGGTAGTCCTCCAGGAAGCACTTCACTCTGTCCAGAGCTACCTGGAGCTCACAGCATTTAAACTTTCTTGAAGTCACTCCTTTTTAGGACAAGTCAGCACTGCAAGGTTAACAAAGCCATTGAAAGGTAGTCTTACGTGTGTTTTTTTCCCATAGGACTGGCTGCTGGATCACAGGGTAGAACATTCACTTATTGCTGTGAGCAAATAAATTAAGACTCAGCTGGAAGTTCTAGAAAGGCCTGGAAGTAACATGCTACAAGTCAGGTAAGTGCTGTACCCAGGGACAGTATGTGCCATGTATAGTGGAGATGTGCCTAGGAGAGCTTGGAAATACTTAAGAGTATGGATGCCCTTAGAAGTGATCTAACACAGCACTGTATGCATCTCACGTGATCCTGGGACTAGTTTATTTTAGCCACATCCTTCGACTCTCCTGTTCATGTTGTGGGAAGAGAAAATATTTTTTCCCCAGTTCTTATTCTTTTAGAAATACAAATAATAAATTAACCGTTTTCCTAACATGATGATGTTTCAATCCTTTATCATAGAGACATTTTATCAAGCAATAGTGATGTTTGTTAATCTGTAACAACATATGTGTTGTTACAAATCCAACAACAACATTATTTAACTTTGCTTGCAGACAGATCTGATCATTGTTAGACAACTATCTGCCAAAAACAATACAGGCATTATTTAACCTCTCTGGAGGGAGAGGTCACAGTAAATTTCTTCTCAAGTTGCTTCCAATCCCTTAGCTATTTACTATATAAATCAAACAAATTTTCAATATGTACATGAACATATCAAATCTGCTGAGCAGTTCTGCTTTATCTATTTTGTCTGATTTTACAGAAAATTGAACATTCTGGAAAAACAAACAAACCAACCCCCAAAACCAGGCAGTCATTTTTTTTTCACTTTACAAACAGCAGGCTTTTAATTAAATTTTAAAATTAGCTTTTATCACTTCAAATTGATGGCATAATGTTTACATAATGATCTGATGAACCATCCAGCAGCTCTAGCAAGTTGCCCAGAAGCAGATGCTAAAACGCAATAATTTATTACAGAGAAAAGAGGCCTAAATGTTCCCAGTATCATTCTGTAGCATAATTCCTGTGTACCTCAAACAAGAATTATGAAAATACAGAGCATTAAGATTGAGTAAACTTTACAATCACTGAGCTTATACTAAGCATAGCTGCCCCAGCCATGTGCCCACCGTACCTTTCCCAGGTTATCCCTCTCTGACCCTCAATTGCTATCACACCACCCACAAGGCAACGTTTCCTGCAGAAAGGGACCTGGGGGTCCTGGTCGATGGCACGTTGAATATGAGTCAGCAGTGCCCTGGCAGCCAGGAGGGCCAACCGTGTCCTGGGAGGCATCAGGCAAAGCATCACCAGCCAGTCGAGCAAGGGGATTGTCTGGCTCCTCTCTGCACTGGTGCAGCCTCACTTCGAGTCCTGCATGCAGTCTTGGGTGCTAGAACGTAAGAAAGACATTGAGCTTTTAGGGAGCGTCCAAAGGAGGGGCAAGAAGATGGTAAAGGGCCTTGAGGGGAAGCGATATGAGGAGCAGCTGAGGTCACTTGCTCTGTTCAGCCTGGAGAAGTGGAGACAGAGGGGAGACCTCATCCTACCCTACAACTTCCTTGTGAGAGGAAGAGGAGGGACTTCTCTCAGGTGACTGGTGAGAGGATCCAAAGGGATGGCATGAAGCTGTGTCATAGGAGGTTTAGGTTGGATTTTACAGTAAGGTTCTTTACCCAGAGGGTGGTCAGGCACTGGAACAGGCTCCCTAGGGAGGTGGTCGTGGCACTAAGCCTGAGAGAGTTCAATAAGTGTCTGGACAATGTTCTCAGACACATGGTGTGATTTCTGGAGTTGTCCTGTGCAGGGCCAGGAACTTGACTTGATGATCCCAGTGGGTTCCTTCCAGCTCAGGATACTTTGAATCCTCTCTGCTCTCAAAAGAAACCAGTTTCCACGACGTGCTGCTAGCCGGGAGTCACACACCAAAAACCTTCAAATATCCTTACAGCACCCTTGAGACACACGGAAACCTATTCTGACCTTCATAACGGAACTAACCCTTCGCCTCGAAGAGCTCTCCCACCTCCCTTTTTACCACTGAACCCTCCGGACTTCCGCCCCCCCAACAGCGCCGCCAGTCTCTCCCCGCCCTGCCGCCCGCTCGCCATGGCGCCGCTCCCGCCCCTTCCGGAGCGGCTCGGAAGCGCGGGGTGGATGTCGGCGGGCGGCAGGGCCGATGTGCCGGGGGCTTCCGCGGACAGGCCGACAGGTAGCTGCGCTTTGGCGGGGCCGCCGGGGGTCCCCGGGTATGGCACTCCCCCACCGCGCCGGGGAGGGGGCGGCGGGAGGTGTCGGGACTGGGACCCGTCCTGCGCCCTCGGCTTAGGCCGGCCCGGCCCTTCCTGGTCGGCTGCTGCCCTCGGTCGCTCTCCGCCCCGGCAGACGCTTGCCGTGAGTCAGTGTTAAACTAACATCGCAAAACAGTGCTGGAAGACACCGCTAGTGGAGGTGTTGGCTGGGAATGACACCTGCTCGAAAGCAAAAGAACTGATGGAGTGTGCTAAGCGCTCTGATTGTCATTAAATATTTTAGCCTTCTGTGCATCTGAGGATATGATATGTGGGATGTCTAGGCAGACTGCTGCAATAGAGAAGAGTACTTGGCTATGTAAGCTTACTTACATGCTCATTACTATTTAATGTGACTAGTGCAAAATGATTATAAAGAGGAGTAGTAGTCATTAGAAGGAGAACCTCTACACTAGCAGTGAATGGAACTCTTTTGTTTCTACATTTGGAGGAAAGGATACTACGCAAATGACATTTCAGTACAATTACCTACGAAAAATCTTATATTTAAATAAAATACTCATTTAGTTTCTTAGTGATATTTTTTCTCTTTTTTTTTTTTTCAGTACCCCAAGTGTGACCATAAAATATGATTCTTTGCCTGCTGCACCAAACTCCCTGAGTACTTCTTTTGTAGTTTGGTCACATGGCCTCAACTACAATGGTAAGTTACGATTCGGATAATATATTTTCAGATCTTTTTGCTCTAGCCTGCTAGCTGTCTGGCTGACAAGGAGAATACCATCAATGTTTCACATCTTCTTTAAAAAAATTATTTTACGTGTCACTTCTGGGCTCTGACATTCCTTTTTTCAGGGGTATGTTCATTCCTTCATAGCTTGTGAATGCTTCTAAACACTTAGTCACTGACCAGTGCATCATAGGAATTGTCATATGAAGCTAGTGGTGGGTTTTCAGTCACAATTGATGGACAGTTGGGTGCATATAAATCGTGCTTCCACATAGTATTCTGTTCACTAGTCCTAATATTGCTTTGGATTGTTACCTGATGTTAAGCAGTCAGGAAACTGAATATCTGAAATCATGCAGTTATCCACTAGACTTAAATAGAAAGCATGAGTATTAGACATTTTCATTAAAACACCTAGACACTTGAAAATTTACATGTTCTGTAGTGGTGGATTCTAAGAAGTAATAGCATATTAAGTAGATGGCTTTTTTCGTGAACAGGTAAGAAATTTTGTGTTAGGTATGTTGTAGATGAATGGTAAAATGCCTGAGTGGTTTTGTTGTATATTTCTTTGTTGTTACTTTGTTGTTGTGTAATGTTTTTCTTTCTTGAATTCTATTATAACAAAATATGAAATATTCACTATCTGTGAAATAACTGGTGCTACCTTGGATTGGACATGGCTCATGTGCCTTCTGTTCCTTGACGTTCAAGTAAAGGTATTTGCTTTCACGAACAGCTCATAGGGATGGTTTAAACTGAGGAAATAACACAAATATGTATGTGGGAAGAGATATCTATTACAAATGTTTTTAAGCTTTACTGAATATTAGAGCTTGTTACAATACGTTCCTAGGGGCATTATCCCCCTGTCCCTGAAATTAATGCATTGCTTCTCTGGACTTTCGTGGAGCTGAATCAAGTCCCAAGCATTCTCCTCCAAGACTTTAGTTCTTAGTATTGTTCTCTCTCTCCTCTCTGCCCCAAATCAGTTTCATTGTCTGGTGCTGTGGTGGTTTGGGCTAGGCCTTCCTTGGTGACCAGTTTGTAACCAAGGAAGGGTCCAGATGTACCCAGTATTCCCTACGATTTTTACGTAAGCCAGACTATAAGAAGAAAGGAGGAGAGGCCTTCGCTCTCTTTCCTTCCGGCGGCTTGGAGATGCAGGTTCCCTGCTGTTGAGTCTGCCGTGTTGGGGAGCGAGGCCTGGTTAGGCCTTGCCAACCTTGGGAGACAGAGGTTGCCGGCGATCGTTCCAGAGCGACTCTCGGTTGTCCCAAGGAGAGTAGTGAGCTATTTCTTTGCTAACTCTTTTAGTTGTTTAGATATTGGGCCACTAATCGGGATATATATATATATATATATATATTTTATTTTGGTTTTGTTCCTTTTCCCTTCCCCCTTCCCTTTCCCTTGTGAAATTGTATATATGTCAATTGTATATACTGTAACATAAGTGTAAATATATTTATATATATTTATATAAATATATTTATATATATCACTTGAGCTGTCTCTCTCTCGTTTTGGGTTTTCTTAGTTGTTTTTTCTCCCTCTTCTCCCTGAGGTTTGAGGGGGTGGGACTTCCTATAGTAAGGTTTGGAGACTTGGCAGGGAGCCAGCTTCAAACCATATCAGGTGCATTTAGCAGCTGCATGTTATTCCTGTACAAAGGACGCAAAGGAGGCATCAGAACTAAAGTGAGTGCCAGAGGAGGAAAGTTAGGTGCCAAGGAAGACTTTCTTTTTTTGTATATTCCAGATTGAAATACTTGTTAAATTTTAGTCCAAGAACTCATTATTCTTTTTGATCTTCTTGAAATACAGGAATATTGGCTGCAGGTATACTGAAGTGAAAGACATTTCAGAGGAGCTAAATTCATTAAAGTAAATGGTATTGAGTATACTATGCAATGGGATGTAGAGTAGCTTTTCCATATTTTGCTGTGTTTTGGTAGAGTTGTCCAGACTTAGCCTACTTTAGAGGAAATCTGGAGTGGAAGCTGGTTTTGTTTCTTAGCCACCTAACAGTATGTCATAAGAAACTCTTCTCAAATTGTATTGTGTGCAGAAGTAACATTCTTAACAAAAGATCTTAATTTCCATTTTATGTATTAATACTTGGGCACCAGTATCTAGAAGTTAAAATGTTTTCTTCCTGGACAACTGTTGAGGGACACATTGGCTTAGGCTTTCTGTTGAGTCGGTGACCACCTTAACAAAGGAGAACAGGTTATCTACTTGTCATCGCTAAGTGTTTTGGTTAATAATTGTTACTGCTTTTATTAGGTGTAATTTCTATTCCTATTTTTAATTTCAATTGCCTTTCATTGTTCTAAGGCTACATAATTTAGCCAAACCTCGTGATACAGTTACATGAGATTTCAGCTGTTTAGTATGGGCTAAAGAATGTTTGAGCACATCTTCTAATTATAAGTCCATATGTGGTGTTTTTATGCATGAGGATGTTTAAACAAGTCATGTAATTTGAAAAACCCCTTTGTGATTCTTGCAGCAACAAGCTTTAGAACAGGCATTGGATCGTGCTGAGGTAAGAAGCAGCTAAATTACTTGCTTGTACATAATATATTCATCTCACAGTTATAAAAGTACAAGTTATATTTTTATTTCATCTGAAAAGCAGTGGAAAAGCATGTTATGTAAATATAGGTATGTGTATAAATAATCACCCATACATGTAACACTGAGTTTACAAAATCCTCACTACAATTGTTGTCATATATTTGTCTCTTACCCATTGTACTACGGACATCAAATATGATGGTGATAGACTATGCAGGACTTCAGTTTTCCCTTTTTAAACTAGCATCTGTGTGCTGTGAAATAGGCAGAGCTCTACAAGACAGCTGGCAGAAATATATGGTAAAATCCTGTTTGTTTTTAAGGATAGCCCAGTTAGAACAAAGAGGCAAGTGTCTTCACATTCATGTTCTTTCATGCTGACACGTGACACGTTACCTTGAACCATTCCTGTAATGGGAAATGTTTCTGTGGGCGATCCTCTCTTCACTGAAATTCTGAACTAAGCTGTTAATCAAAATACTTCAGACAAAGAACAGTGATTAGGAAAAACCTTATTAGAATATAAATCACATTTAATGTAGGATGATATCTCTCATTCTTTTTTAATAGGAATATTTAATGAACGTGAATTGTATTTATAATGCACAACTCTATAGAGAAAACAAATGTTTTCTCTATAGAGAAAAGACAAAAGACAAGGGGGAAAGTAAACTTCCTGAAATTAGTTTTGTTGAGGAGTACTTGATTGTAGATGTTGTTGAGCCAGTATGCATAAATTTGGTCATATCTTAGCATTACTGTCAGCGTGTTAACTATGTCAACTTCAGTAACGTTAGCGAAGTACAGTAGTGTTGATTACTGCTGTAATTAAAAAACATGAATGCAGAATCAAGACTTTGTGTGCAACTAATGCCATAGCCATGAAATGCTACTTTTGACAACTAAACTGAGCTGTGTTCTTGTTGATGACTATAACATAGACCAAATTGTGTTCAGTACACTTTTGGAACAGTCATGTAGCATAGCTGCTAATTACTTTCTGTATATGTGGAACACTGTCTGGTAATGGTCTAAAGCTGTGTGGTAGATAGAATTAAATTTCTTTGTAATGTATGTTATTTTTTTGGTTTACTTTTCTCTTGTAGTATATCATTGAAAGTGCCCGTCAGAGACCTCCCAAAAGAAAATATTTATCCAGTGGAAGGTATTAAGAGTTTCAGTATTCAGTTTTTAAATAGCATTTCTTTTGATTTAATTTTGGTTACATGTTAAGCTTTTTTAATTGCAGAAAATCTGTGTTTCAAAAACTCTATGATTTATATACAGAAGAATGTGAAAAAGAGCCCGAAATAAAGGTAAGTGGAAATTGCTGAGAAGCTTTTAATTGCTGTCTAAACAGGCAAGTTCAGAAAATACATTTTTTTATTTCAATTAATTTCTTTGTTAAAAGAAGAATAAACTCTTCCGACTGTAGTAGTTACCTAAGGCTAAGACTGAAGGAGAAACAATTATTATGGGTTTTGTGGACTAAACTGTGTAATTTAATAGCATCATCTTAGTGCAGTTTGAAATAAAAACAAGGTAATGGGAAGGCCAATGACTACCTGGTAACTGGTAACCCTAAATGTGTTTTTAGAGGTTATAAATGCTTGCTGAGGTAGAATGCTTACTGAGGATTGTATTTAGTGTACTCTTGAGATGCTTTTCTTTATATGGAAAGAGAGAATTTCAAAGGAACGGTCTGGAAAGGACAGATCTATCTAACAGGTTTATTAGAGAGCAGTACTATTGAAGTAACTGAATGATATAATATGAATAGTAAGGCCTAGACTGGCTTGAGTGACCTGTTCATTCTGTCTTAATCCTGTGTCACAGAAGTCAGTTGAGGTCAAGTTCAGGGCCGATGTCAATGCCACGTGCACTGTTGTCAGTATCACTGTTTCAGAATCAATTGCTTCGAATGACTGCCGTAGGAAAAAATGTGGGTAATTTTTGACTCTATGCTTTGCTGTAAAGTCAGATTTATTTCTCTAGCAGCTTGTAAACTCAGAAGTTTGTGAAATTTTTTCATAACGTTAGCAAAGAAGCTCAAGCAGACTTAGCAATGCTAAATATAAGGTGTAAATAGGCACAAGTTACTTTGCTAAACCATGAATGTCAAATGGAACAAGAAGAACAAGCTGTGGAATCTGCTGTATTGCTGCTTCCAAGGAAATAAAAACAAATGAGAAGCTAAATGGACGTGAGATGTTAGTTATTGAGCACCTGTAATTCCTTTCGGTGATTCTGATATGGTTGATTGTATTTAGCATATGATCTTGATTCAAATCACAGATGTGAGGTTTTAAGCAAATTATAGACTTGAAAAACATCAGTAGTGAATGGGTAGTAAAATGTTTGAGCAGCAGGGAGAAGATCAGCCTTGCTAGACTGGAATCTAGGAAAACCCCTGGGATTTTAATGCAATAGGTCTTGCTAAACTAGAAGGCACTGGGCAAACTTACCCAACTATAATAAAATTGAAGTAGTGAAACGAGTTATAACATCAGAGTAGGTGAAAGGGATTGTTGCTGATCTAGATTTGAATAAAAAATTAAGTTCTTTATTGAGGAGTTGGAAGCTTATGATAGGCAAGTTTGTACGTTGAGCCCTTATTCACTGAACTAAGATGTGGATATTAAATACATACCTTGGTCTTATGTTAGGGATTGTGACAACTGAAAATGAGAAGCTCAAAGATCAAGGTACAAAGGTTAAAAGATAATGCTACTGTGAAACTTCATCCACAAGCATAGGATTGTGTATTTGTTTCTTAACTGGCAAAGTAAAACTGAACTGAGTTCTAACTTGAATTTGATCAATGACTTGGATGTAGCTTAAAGGTTTTAGTGTACAGAACTATCAAAGTTTGTATTCCAGTATTGCACCGTTTTGATGGTACAAGTTGTAATTAGATTGTCCACTCAGAAGCAATTTTTAAATTAACACTGAATATTGTTTTTCAGTCTTAACTTTCTCCCTAATTAATTATTCTTCCTCTATTACTCCAGTCTGCCAGCTTCATTGCTTTTTGGGTCTCTTCTATTTCTGCATATGCACACTCAAGAGAGAACTAACTGTGCTGAGGTGGTTGTCTAATAAAACAGTTGGCTTCACTTGGCCTCTAGTGTGCAACATTCCCATATGTAAAAGTTGAAATAAAAAAAAAAACAAACAAAAAATAATTTTGGACTCAGTGTTAAACACAAATGTGGAAACAGACCTGGCCTATGGACTGGAAGGATCATAGACTCTTAGGATCATAGATCATGCCTTCTGCAAGGCAGGTCAATCTGAAGATCTCTGCTACAAAAACAAATTTTAAAAAAAATGGAAAATCATTGATCAGTTGCTTATTTTCAATTGGTGTCTTCTGACAGCTGCACGTGATAGCATCAGTGTGCAAGAATGAAAAACATCTTGGAGAAAGCAGAGTTTCAGAACACTGTTAATGAAAGTCACTTCAGTTCCCTTAAAGGTGCATCTTCTGTGCATTCATGAAATAGTGCCTTTTTTTTTTTTTTGGAAGTGATCTGTTTATTTTAAGCTTTTTGACCAACTTTTCAGTTATAAAGGTAGATGGGAAAATCAGTTTAATATGCTACAGTGAGGAATAAGAAAAGCAATCATGATAAAGATAACATAATAATTTTGTGTAATACTCTGTGCACTGTTTGAGGATTAGGTATTAAAATTAACATTTTGCTTGTAGCCCAGGGTGGAGGAGTAATAAACAACATAAAATCACTACTTCAGTCTGGTTAGGCAGGAGTGCTCAGTATTCTTTATTCAGTGATAGTCATCAGAATTCACAGGAAGTGAAAGAAGCACCTGTGTCTTCTCTGTGCAGCTTCCCATCCATCACGCAGTCCCATCCAGTCCCTGCAGTGCATGTTCAGGAGGGAGGAGTGCTGCTTTTCTCTGAGTGAAATCAGAGAGGGTAAAAGTTTAGCTGATATAACAGAGCAGTAGAGCTGGCCTGGTGGCTTGGTATCTGAACTCTTGTAGTATAAAGCAATGAATGCTTAAGAAACATAATACACCTCAGGCCAGTCCTTGATCTTTATAACCTTTACACACAAGACCTGAGCTAATGCTTAATATCAGTTTTGACACAGTATCTGAGTGCCAGCTCAAAGGAGAAAGGTATTTTTTTGTAGACATAAAAACTTTTCGTACTTAGTGAAACGTAACTTTATCAACACGTTGAAATGTTTGTACTTAAAACACTAATTTACTCCAATGTCTTGGAAAGGCTTTATATTTTAAAATGTTTTTATAATATGTCTTTAAAATCTGAGGTTATACGAATGCAATGTCAGAAATGTTCTCAGGCCTATGTGATTGTCCTCTCCTTTTTCCTTTACCTGTTTTCCCCCCTCAACATCCTAGCCTCCAAAAAAGTGTAACAACCTAAAAATCCAAGCCATGAGTGGCCGAAGATTATTGAACAAAACTTAAAAAATAAAACTAACATATCATTCACTGAATTACAAATTTAGAGAGTGATGCAATTAACTAAATTTTATTATATTCGCAATTTAATTACCATGATATATATTTTACTTCTGAGGTGTTTAAGGAGCAGAAGCCTTCCACAAAATAAATCTCATGTCTATTTCTTGCATACATAGACAAATATTTAGGAAAAAAATATTCTTTATTTAGAAATTCCATGAGTGGTTACTAGTTAGTATAAATTATTCTGTGCCTGTATTTTGGATGAAATAATGCCATTAATTGAATGATCCTTTTTCTTCAGCTCCTGAAAATAGCAAAGTTGGATTAGAACTGTTAACAGTATTATCAGTAACAGCTTCTAGAAGTTTTATTGGTTCTATCCCAGTGATAGAGAAATGGAATTGTTTTTTATTGTTTTATTTGGCATTTTTAAATATAACTTTAGTGTAATTAATTAATCTCCTTTACATACCTTACAGAATTCTCATATTTCTTTCTGTCCTAGTGCCAGTGCATAGCTAAATATGAAAGAATTAATTAACCCAACACAGGGGAACATACTGAAAAACTTTTCCATCAAAACATGACAGTATCTCAGTTTTTAAAAAAGAGGATGTCAGAGTAGTTGAGTGCTGACTTTGGTCTCAGATGACATTTCCTGTACCTCAGGCTGCTTCCTACTATGTCTAAGTGAAAGCCCAATAGCTAAATCCTCTACTCAGGGATGAGTCTGAAAATTGAAGCACTGCACATGCAGCCTCCTGGTGTTTGGTGGATGGTGGAGGGGTTAATAGGAGTTCTGGCTGAAGAATGTTTTACTTAACATGCTGCATCTCCAGCATCCTGTATGAGAAATTGGCTTTCATGACCAGTCTCTTACCTCTGTTGTTGCTATGACATACTTTCTCCCATTGTCCCCCACTCCTCCAGTTCTTTTCCCATTAATTCTGAAAGAATTTAGATGCTACTTTGTCTGTTTCTTAGTTTCCACTATTTCTGTACTGTAAAAGCCAGTGAGATGTAGTCACCATCATTCATGATGCATGGGGAAGAATTAACTTTAGGCAATGATTCTAAAACTACATAGCAGGAAATTGAAAATACTTTCTTCCCTTTTCTCTTCCTTTAATTATATTGCTGTGGGATTTGGAGGTTTTGTTTTCAGTCCTTTTCTCTAAGTTTGTTCCCCAATAAGTTATGATCCTGCTTTCCCTCTTTTCAATATCTATGGAAAGATGAATTTGTTCAAAAAAAGATAGCCCACTACTACTTAGTTGGGTGTGTGTGAAATGAGTTGTTTGGCAGGGTTAGTAGAGACCTCATGTTAACTCCCAATTAATGGCTCCACTCAGGGCTGATATTCAGAGATGAAATCTGGCCTCCAGCCAGAAAGTATTAAATTATCTGAGTTTCAGAATTCATTGTCTTAAGTTCTAAGGGAGCTTTAAATGTTTCAGTTGATAGGATATACACGAGGTCTCTAACACATAGCAAGTAATTTTAAAAATCTGTTATACATGGGAAAAATCATTCTTATAGTTAAATAAGGGAATAGTGTCTGCAGCTGCTGGATCAGATTTCAGCAAATACAGACAAGAAAATGCAATTAAAACTTCCAAATGCTGTAATTAAGTATTTTAATCCTGGAGAGAAAAATCTGCTTCTGTTAGGAATATTTGAAAGTACTAAATATTTTGTTGTTTTTATCAAACAATGTGTAGAGGATAAATGATGTTCATAGAAATTATACAAATAAATAGGGCCACTGTAGATTAATAACATCGTAGCATAGCATCATTAACTCTGTTGTCTGTGAACTTCCAGTTCTAGGGTTTGTAATTTAAATGAGTGGGGGTTTTTAAAAAAATCAGTGTATATTAGTATGTGTGATAATACATAATATATTTACTCTGCTGAATACAGTACAATTAAATTTAACTGGCTTGTTTAGATGTATACTTTGTTGTTAATCTAAATATTAGTCATATTCTAGCAATTGTTTTTATTTCTACTAATTATTTCATTGTATTATGTTCATGAGCAATGTTTACTTTTAAAGCAGAAGCTGAGACGAAATGTGAATTTACTTGAGAAGCTGGTTATGCAGGAGACGTTGTCATGTCTGGTAGTGAACCTCTATCCAGGAAATGAGGGTTATTCACTTATGCTCAGGGGAAAAAATGGTTCAGGTAATAATTTTACTCTTTAATTTTTAAAAACACTCAGAATGCTATATAAATAGCATGTGTTGTTGCTTACATTTAACTGTTCCACTTCTAAGATCATTCTGGGGGTGACGGGTGGACGGAGAACAAACAACTGTACTTGAATTAAAAATTTACATAAAGCTGTGAGGTGCAGTGTAAATCTGTAGATATGAGTCTTTTTGATAGCCTTTCATTCTCTTATTTCCACTTAGTTTCTGGAGTTGCATATTCAGGTTTCTCTTATATCAAGTTCCTTCTGTCAGATTGATTGTTTCGCTGTTTCCTATATCTAGGTCTGTCTAAAGGCATTTTTGTTCCAGTTTGGTTGTATTTCCTTGCTGTTGGTACTGTGACGTGCAATAAGAGCATATGCAGTATGTCACCTGGGAGCAAAAATTCTGTCTATTAGCACCGTAAGAGCAAAATAAAGCTCTAGAAACAGAAAGGGATGTGAAAATTAATACTGTGCAAAAAAAAAAACCGATCTGTTTGGATAGGTTTCTGCCAACCCTGCTTTTTCCTGTAGCAAGTTTGTTTTGGATTTCTCATTGTTAAAGTTGGAACTTGAAAGGCGAAAGAAAAGTAATATGTTTTGTTTAAATTCAGATTCTGAGACCATTCGTCTGCCTTATGAGGAAGCAGAGCTGCTTGAATATTTGGATGCAGAGGAACTACCACCTATTTTGGTTGATCTTTTGGAAAAATCGCAGGTTTGGAAGTTTTGTTTTGGACAAGAACTTGTGTTTTTTACCCAGATAGACCTTGATTTTTTTGAATGCTTCACATAGGTGATTCTAATCACAAGACACTTCTGCGTTTGAAACTGTAATATTTAAAGCCTCAAATAAATATTTTATTGTTCTTTAGGAAAAAAAATACTGAGGAGAAAGAGATAGAAGAGAGATTGCTGTGGTTATAGCTGTGAAACAACTTCGACTCTGTGCTCTAGCAAAATGCCCTTTGTTCTTGGTCATAATGACAATGTTTGGCATGGGAATTTTTTGAAACTACTTTGCTGGCATATGAAACACTACATTTTAAGCTTGTATTTTAGGTATGTCTAGGCATGTAGTAAAGAGCACCGGTCTGAAAAAATTAATGATTAGTTTTATTCATAGTTTCACTGAATTTTATATGTTATATAAAAAACTTCTATTTAGAGGCAGGGGTGGATTGGTAAATATTTGTTTATTTAAAAGTTGGTTTTTTTTTCTTTCAACTAGGTTAATATTTTTCACTGTGGATGTGTCATAGCAGAAATACGTGACTATAGGCAGTCTGGTAACATGAAATCTCCAACATACCAAAGCAAGCACATTCTTTTGCGTCCTACAATGCAGGTAAGAAGTGGCTTAAGTAATTTCTCAGTGTTACCATAGTTCCTAGACTGGATACTATTACAGACCATATATTAAGAAATCTTACTACTCAGTTAAAAGCTAATTACCATTATGTCTTCTTCCTCAGACTTTAATTTGTGATGTGCATTCTATAACAAGTGACAACCACAAATGGACACAGGTGGGTTAGAGGTTATTTTAAAACTTTATAGTGATGTCATAAATACACAAAAAAAAAAATTATGTAAAATTTTCTATTTGTTTAATAAATATAGAACTTACTCTTTTTTTATTAATTCAAACTGTCAGTGTGTATAGTTGTGCATGGTACATGATTCAGAGAGCTGCCAAATTAACATAATAGCATCTTTCCACAAGATGCTATAGAATACAATAGGATTTGCTAAAAATTTTGTGGAGTCAGACCTTAATTTTTGAAGTGAAAAATGACAGCCTTGGAGTGACTCTAGCTAGTTTACCCTACTTCGTTCATCTTCAGTGTGCAGCCCCAGAACAGCACTGGCAATCTAATGACACAATTGCTCCTCCACCTTTATTTTACTATTGATACTTTTAAAGTAAAGAGAATCTAAAGTAACTACAGTAGTACAGTTATAGGTAGTGAATTGCTGAACAGGGTGGTGTACTCAGTGTTCTTTTTTGTGTTTCAGAGCCACAGTCATGCTCAAATCTAATTCAAATTGTAGTTCTAATTCCCAGTAGATCATCTTTATGGCACTGATTGCTAATACATCAATATAAATCACTGACAGAAAATGAATTTCAGTGCCACTGGTACTGTGTTTGAAGCAAGCAAACAAAGAAAACTCACACAAAAAACCCCAGAACATGACCTCTGCTTTTCAGCAGATTTCTTGGTTTTTTCCTACGGGAAACCCTACCCAAGGTCTGTAACTAATAATAATGGTTAGGGATACTTAATTGTTGAACAGTTTCTTCTGTTGACTATTCACACACAATTTTTTCAGTTTTCTCTAAAATGATGTCCATGTGCACAGGTATATAAGAGCTTAATTAGTGTAAAAGTTTTCATATTTTTACATTTATTAATAGCTGTGTATATTACAGGAAGACAAACTCCTACTTGAGAGCCAACTTATTTTGGCTACAGCAGAGCCTTTGTGTCTTGATCCTTCAATAGCAGTGACGTGTACTACAAACAGACTCCTGTACAACAAGCAGAAGATGAACACTCGCCCAATGAAACGGTAGTTTTCAGTGTGAAACATTTTCAAAGAAAAATATAAGTAATGCTTTATGTGAAAATTTAGCCACTCATATGAAATACTTACTGAAATATTAGGATTGTGTGAGGAACAGTCAAATTATATCTTATTTCAAAGTGCTCAATATTGTGCTCTATTTCAGTTAGTAGTAGATACAGCAGTAGGCTTATTTTTGTATATCAAAGGAAAGTGTGTATATATATATTTTCTCAACATAACCTGTTATACTGGATTTTGCCTTTTTTTTGCGTAATTTATGTGTAGGCTGAGTCAGATGGCAGCTTAGTATTGTAAAATATATAAATTGATATGTTGCATATTGGTCTCTGATTTGTTAAAAGCTATGTATAAGCTTAATCCTGAATGAGGAAATCAAGGGAATTATTTGCATGTTTGACATTCAGGCTAAACAGAAGTGTAAGCATATCAGAATCTTGGAAAAGTTGAAATTATTTCACTTTTGTGCGTGGTTATTCACTTTTTTTCCACAAAAGCTTGAAATGGTTAATATTTATTCTGCTACAAGAGTTGCATTCAATTATGCATCAAAAAAATAACCCCATTCTTAGTGCTGAAACACATGAACAGAATACTATTATATTTTATAAATATGAACTAAAAAGTTAGAGTTGTACAGTGTAACCCAGAAAAGCAATTTTAAATTAATATTTGAAAACCTATTAGTCTCAATTTAAGTAGGAGTTCTCTGCATATTTTTGTGTTTGTACACAGGCAGCGGAGAATTTAATGTTGATGGTTTTACAAGCTTGTGTCATTTTTCCATAGGTGCTTCAAAAGGTACTCAAGGTCCTCTCTGAACAGACAGCAGGAAGTAACTCACTACTCAGCTCCACCTCAGCTCAGAATACTTGACTACTTACAGAAAAGGAAGGAGAGGAAAGCAGCCCAGCAATATGACCTCAAAATTTCTAAAGCTGGAAATGTAAGTGTTCTGAGAAGTAATTTCATATGCTTCTAACTATTTAATTAGAACATTTAACATATTAATCCTGCTTTTTCATTTTCCAGTGCGTAGATATGTGGAAACAGAACCCTTGCTACTTGACTGCACCTTCTGAAGTAGACGTAAGACCAGTTGTTACCATTAGCAATTATTAGCAATTTTATTGAACATTGTATTATATGAAGAAGTGACTAAAAAGTATCTGGTATCAAAGAAAAAATGGGATAACTTTACTTTTTACAGTTACTTTTCTATACCATAAGGTATAAACACAAGTGAAACCACACTGTAATTGTAACAGAATAGTTTGTATGAGGTAAACAGTACAGCTGTTACTGTTTTTCTTCTGTGGGTTCAATGAGCACATGTCTATTTGAAGTTGTTTGATAATATGAAAACCAGAAAAACAAATGAGATTTGTGGATTATTTAAAAATGAGTCACTTCTCATCTTGGTAGAAATTCCTCTCTTTAGATATGTTATGATACTATGGCACATTAATATTTTGAGAAGTTTTGATTTTTATACAGAGAATTCTAGTTGAGAGTTCTTTTGATCACTCTGTGTGCATTCTTCTCTCAGGGACATTTGTGTTCTTAGTTTCTATCACTGACAAAACATATACTACCAGTGTATGGAAGGGACTCATAGAATCATAGAATACCCTGAGTTGGAAGGGACCTACAAGCATCATCAAAAGTCTAACTCCTGGTCCTGCAGGACAAGACAACCTCAAAAATCACACCAAGTGTCTTGTCCAAACACTTAAACTCCATCAGGCTTGGTACTGTGAACACTTCCCTGGGGAGCTCGTTCCAGTACCTGACCACCCTCTGGGTGAAGCAATTTTTCCTAAAATCCAACCTAAACCTCCTCTCAGGTCCTGTCACTGGTCAACACGGAGAAGAGATCAGGGCCTGCCCCTCCTCTTCCTCACAAGGAAGTTGTAGACTGCAATAAGGTCTTCCCTCAGTCTCCTCCAGACTGAACAGACTAAATGACCTCAGCTGCTCCTCATATGGCTTTCCCCCAAGGCCTTTCACCTTTTTCTTGTCCCTTCTTTGGACACTCTGTAATAACTTTAAATCCTTCTTAGATTGTGGCACCCAAAACTGCACACAATATTCAAAGTGAGGCCACACCAGTGCAGAGCAGAACAGGACAATCCCCTCCCTCAGCTGGCTGGGGATACTTTGCCTGATGCCCCCCAGGACACGGTTGGCCCTCCTGGCTGCCAGGGCACTGCTGACTCAGATTCAACTTGTCATTGACCAAGACCCCGAGGGCCTTTTCCACAAGTCTTCCCTAGTCTAACGAGTCTTCTGCAAGACTCTGTAGACTAGACAAGTCTACAAGCTTTGGACATCATAGGGCTGGCAAGAACGTGCATTACACATGAAATGATGGTATAAGTTTGTACTTTTTTCACTTTGACTTCTTAATCATTCCACATTGCAGACAATTATTTTGATCTGTAGTCTTAAGCTATGTTTCATTCACTCTTTTGTTGTTTAACCTAGCAAATACGGTGTAACACTGTAAGTGTCAAGTTCTGAAGATTCTCTGATTTAGTTTTTCTGAACGCATAAAATAGGAGATTCTTTATTTTCTGATCTCTCTATTTTCTTTAAGGTGGAAAAATATGCCAAAGTGGAAAAGTCTATCAAGCCTGATGACTCACAACCAACTGTCTGGCCAGCACATGTGAGTAGTTTAGGCCTTTGGCCAAACTTCACTGTCTCTAGTTAAAATGCCTCTTATTTCAATAAAAACAAAGTAAAGTAGGAATAATCTTCTCTGCCCCAATTTAATTAATCTTCCATGTGTTATATGGACATGGGAAGATTACCAGAGATACTTGTAATTTTCTACAGTACAGCAAGCATGTGATCAGTCTTGTAATTTCCTCAGGTTTTCCAGAAATACAAGGAAGAGCAGCTTGCAGTAAAGAAAGCATAATAATTTACAGGGAGCAGTACTCTGCTCAACAAATTGCTTTCTTTACTCAGACACTCCAATGCTGATGGAAAAGAGCTTCAGTTAAAATCAAAATGTTAAATTTTGAAAGAGGTTAGTATTAAATGCCTCTTACAAAAAGCTCTTTCTGCAATATGTAAGTTGAACTTTAAGATTTTTGGCACAAATTATGTTGATAGAAAGTAATAATTTAATGTAATCAACCATAGATAATTGATTAATTTTTTTATAATTTTAGAGGCAAGATACTATCTTTATTAACAGCATGATGTCTTTGTAGTTTCATATTGAAAAAAAGTAATACTTTCTCACAGAACTTAATCTTCACTCCCAACATTTTACTCTGAACATTTTTTGCTTTGTCATAATTTATATACAACTGTTCCTATATATGTTTAGCCCATCTGCCTTTCCATGTCTAACATGATTGTTTAGCTTTTGCAATATCGTTGTGTTTTTTAAGAGATGATAAACTCTTTTTCCCTTCATCCCTTTAGATAACTTACTCTCAAATCACTTCCATTTCATATTATGCACTCCTTCCTATAGAGTTTTACTTGCTTACAGAGTTACTTATAGAATGTTTTTTACTATGTTGTATATAGAGCTGGTCTGTTTTAGTCACTGGTTCTGCTAACACTTGTTCAAGACTTACTAGGTTGTTTTCTTCTGTCATTTTAGGAAATAAAAGATGATTATGTATTTGAATGTGAAGTTGGTAATCAGCTTCAAAAAACAAAGCTGACCATTTTCCAGTCTCTTGGCAATCCCTTGTACTATGGTAAAATTCAGACACTCAAAGGTGATGAGGAAAATGACAACCTATTAACTCCATCACAGTAAGTTACATGCTCTTTTAAACTGTGCTGTGATCTGATGGATGAAGGAATACAAATATTGCTTGTCATTTTCAGTCATAAAACTACTCCAGAGCTAAAATCTGATTTACGAGTTTTTAACAAAAAACAATACCAAACAAAATGCGTTCAAGCAACCATCATATCTTTAATGTACTTTTATGTTAAATTTGCCTGTTCTTTTACATTGAAAATATATTGGGGCTAAAAGCAATCTCCCACAAACACAATCCACGCAAATTGTGGAGACACCATGAGATGTTGTTGCACTCTTTTTTTAGTGTTATTCAGAATTTTGATTGTTCTTAAAATGTCCCTGATGCTGTGAAAGCTTAAGACATGACTTTATTCTATTTACCTTAAGACATGACTTTATTCTATTTACCCTTAGACAGAGAAATTTAAGCTAAATAGATGAAAGAAAACATAAGCTTCTAAGAAGCTTTTTAATTTTGAATTGTTTTGAATATGCTGGTTTTGGCTGTGGTGCTACAAATATTTGCTATTCTTGGCTCTTTTTGTTGTATGTACTAGATTACTTGTGTGGAGGAACCTGTGCAGCAGAGTAGAACCTATAAATTTCAGTAAGGCAAGGAGCAGTGAGCCTGAGCAAACTTTTTAGTTTTGCTAATGAAAATTATTTTTATTGTCTAGTATGTAATTCTTCTCTTATTTTTTTTATCCAAATCGTAAAACATCTTGAGTATTAGGAATATTTTATCCATAGACTTCAGTATTTACAGTTTGTTTCCATACTGTTGTGGTTTAACCCCAGCTGGCAACTAAGAACCATGCAGGCACTCACTCTGCCCCTCCTCCCCCTGCCTCCCCAGTGGGATGGGGGAAAGAACTGGAAGGGTAAAAGTGAGGAAACTTGTCGGTTGAGATAAAGACAGTTGAATAGGAAAAGGAAAACCCACACACGCAAGCAAAGCAAACCAAGGAATTCATTCACCACTTCCCATGGGCAGACGTGTTCATCTGTCTCAGGGACAGCAGGGCCCCATCATGTCTAATGGTTACTTGGAAAGACAAATGCCATCACCCTAAATACTCCCCTCCCCCTTTTCTTTCTTTTTCCCACTGGCTTTATATGCTGATGACACCATATGGTATGGAATATCCCTGTCTTTGGTCACTTGAGGTCAGCTGTCCTTGCAGTATCACTTTGCAACTTCTTGTGCACCTCAAGCCCACTTGCTGGTGAGAGACAAAAAGGAACTTTGTAGGTACTGCTCAGGAATACCTAAAACACCCATGTATTATTAAAACTATTTTCAGCACAAAACACAGCCCTATATCAGCTACTATGGAGAAAGTTAACTCTACCCCAGCGAAAACCAGCATACATACTTAGAATTTATCTTCCTAAACCAGCAGTGCTAACTTAGAATTGTGTAATAAGACTGGGAATTAAATGGATTTAGAGGTATTAGATGCCTCAGGGGAGGTTGGAATTCATTGCTAAGACATTGCCAATTGAAGTTCATCAAAACTTGGATAATTCCTCATTAGCAAACTGTCATACAAAATAAAAGTTGTTCAGTAAAATAAAACAATGTTTTTTACATATTTTTTTTTATTTTTGGAGCTGGAGAAAGAGGAAAAAAGTGTTAAAAAAAATCACTGCAGTAATAAGTTTGCAAGCTGTAAGTGTTATGCAAAAGATAAATATTTATTTAGGAGGGCTGGAAAATCAGAGGGAGTTGGAATTTACATAAGTGAAATCAAACAATGGAAACTAAATATTTGCTAAAATATTATGGGTAGGGCTGCTTTTGACATACCCTCAGAAGAGTTATATTTCAGTGTGAGCATATTGATATGTTGTTGATTTATACATAACTTTGTACTTTTTACAGTTACAATTCTGTAGCAGTTACGTCCATTTCTTTGAAAATATAAAATCCCAAACTTCCATACTCTGCCTTTTTCTCTGTAGGTTATTTGCTCCTAAAGGAGACCGTATTAGACCATGTGTGTATATTGTATATATAGTTAGGAAGTCAAGTATGTATTTCAAGTACTGAATAATACCCAGTCCATTGAATGGATACATTATCACTTGTATTTTGAGCAGGTCAGAAAAAAAGGTAGCACTGACATTTGTCTGAAGTCTTGTAATTTTAAAAATATGATCTTTTAGTCCAATTCATGACTGAAAATGTATTTTACATTTTAGGTTCCTTATTGGTTCGAAGACTGATGCTGAAAGGTAATTTAATATAGTATGTACAGCCATTTGGTTTGATGCCAAATAATGAATTTTGTTCCTTTTAGCCATTATGACTGCTAATGTTATGATTATGGAAACAGATGCAGAACAGATGAGGTGAAATAAGAGGAATTAATCATCATAACAAGAAGTAGAATATAGTGTGTAGTTTCTTTATTTAAGGAGCAAGAAAGAATAGAGGAAATCAAATATGTGAGCACAGTTTGTTGTGCTACCTGAACTCTGAGAGCACTTTGCAGGAATTTCATCCTGACATTTTGGATAGTAAATTACCAGTCATGGAACTGGTACATTTGAACTTGTCATTTGAAGTGTAATCTAGGACTTAAGATTTATACAACTTACTTTTGTGTGTTGTGCCTTACTTGATTCAGCTTTCCTACAGAATCAAGTAATTAAAGAGTATTTCAGTGTATTTTAGTCATAGAATGAGTAGGAGTAGCAATTCAGAGAAACAGGCAGCAAAATAACTGTTTTTTCAAATGTTTGTCTGCATGCATCACATTAGATACCTGTGCATATGAACACAGAACCTTTAAAAATCAACCTCTGTCAAAGCCAGTTGTGTTTTTATACTTCCATAGGATACCTCGAGCTGATGTACATGCCATAGCTCTTATCCCTATCTTATGTGCCTGGCAGGGAAATGAGTATTTGATTTGATCAGAAATCAGTAATCGTGTTCTTTTTTTAAATAGGTAATTTTGATCAAGAAACCCTGTGCTTATATTCTCTCCTGCATCCTTTGTGCTGATACTTTTGCTGTTTGTTCTGTAAGCGGAACTGGGGGATTGGCTGGCTGAAAACTAAAACAATAATACAGGGGCCTAGTTGTAACTGGGGTTGGTTTCCCGATCCTGCTTGTCACTTGGTTGCACAAGTCCTTCTGTCAGAATAGCAACTGGGTTCCAGGGACTAGGACAAGATGCAACAATATAAGAGGTCAGGACTACCTTTTTGAGTATTTGGCATTTTACTGCTCTTAATTCCACTGTAATTTTAAGTCAGTCTGAAATCTAATTGCTGAAAAAAGTACACTGCACCCTTTCCTCTGCTGTGTATCTCAGGGCCCTTGCTTAGGTCTGCATTAGTCAAGTAACAGCATATTACAGAATCAGTGCTATACCAAAATAAAGTGTAGTTCATCACGCTTAGGTGTAAGGTATTAGAAATATTCCAGCAGTTTTTCATTGAGATTCAGTCTGTAAGTGACAACAGCACTTCAGCTTGATTTTTCAAGTCAGCAAGGTCACTTCGTATATTCTGCTCATGTTTGTGAAAGAGTTTTCCCTCAACTTGGTTGTCTTAGATTAGTAGAGATGTAGTATTTCATTTGATAGAACAGTATTTTAAATTTGTTTGCCTGATGCTATTGGTGCTTTATTAAATGTCTGTCGTGATGCTCAAAGAGGAGTGATTGTTCATCCCTTGCATTTAGATTCCTCATCTGACACAGACCTCAAGTTAAAGGAGGGGTTGACTGTTCCACAGGGAGCATAAGCAGAAGAGACACCTTTATAAAAGATTCTGGGCCTGTGTGAAGGGAATGGGATCCCCATTGACTGACATCCCAAAGACCTGCAGTTGCTTTCAGGAAGGGAACTGCTCCATCTACTGTTTTACATATTCCTCCAGAAGAGTGTTTCTTACACTGTATTTTGCATTAGAAAAAAAAAGACCGGGATTAAAAGTTAAAATGGAATAAACCTAAGAGCCCAGGAACATAATGTAGAAAGATACAGAGAGATATAAATATTTTTTATATATATGCGTATCTGTTTTATATAGAGATATGCTTACATAATAGATAAAATATATGACCGTAACATATGCAATTATGTGTTTTTATATATGTATCTATTTTAGAAGTTAAAAGTTGTTAATCTTTTTATGTCTTCATTGTTTGTTTCAGGGTAGTGAATCAGTATCAGGAGTTAGTACAAAGTGAAGCTAAATGTCCTGTGAAAATATTTCATAATTCAAGTGGATCAGTCAATCTTAGTCATCTTTCTCCAGGGAAGGAAATGGAAGTGAGTTTATTAAGCCACACATTTTTTTATTTGCCTTTGATTATTGAATTGTTAGAATTTCAGAGATTGCTTTGTTTGTTTCAAAGAATATTTTGAGTTGGAAGGGACCCACAAGGATCATCAGCTGTTAGGTGAGTGGCCCATACAGGGATCAAACCCGTGTCGTTGGCGTAGCATGTGCTCTAACCAACTGAGTTAATCTCAGGGTTCTCTTTGCTACCGACATTTAAAAGTAAAATAACCTAAAAATGTCATCGCGAATGAGTTTTTAAATGTGTTGTGGTCATGATCATTCATTGGAAAAGTTAAAGGAAAGCATTTATGTTTTCAGTGTTCAAATGCTGTCTTCTAGATGTTTCGGGGGTTTTTTGGCTGTGTATAGTGTAGTTAGCTCCAAGGTTTTGTTTTAGCATTTTCCCCTGTTCAGATGAACCTTTCACAGAACAGTATAGTAAAATGCAGCTATGTGTTTTATTTTACAGGTCAGTAAACACAGAAGGAGATGGAGTAGCTAAACTTCTTTTACCTGTAGAAATTAAAATTATTTTCTCTTTACTTTGAAGAGGAAAACGTAAAACAAAACAAGAAAAAAACCCAAAAAACCCCAAAACAAAAACTAGCAAACAAAAAACCCCCCAAGAACTTTAAAATGTGTATATTTGCATGCACACACATTTCTACCTTTCCAGTATAAATTCTTGCATTCCCAAATTTTCCTGCCTGTTGGCATTGCCTTGTTTTACATTCTGCTTCTGGCTTTGTTGGTCAGATTCAGTACTTCAGCAGTGAGCTGTATTTAGGCTTCAAGTAGTCAATGAGAGTTGTATCTGTTGGGCTATTTCCTTAGTGACATCCTCCCCTAAACACCTAGTTTTAAACTCCTACAACATTGCTGTGAAAGAGGTAGTTCTTGGTGTCAGCCAGACCAGCAGCATTCCAAGGCCAGCAGTTGCAGAAAGGGATATGAATGTTTATGTGTATACACATACAGGCATGTACATGCACATGTATATATGCATTAAAATCATATAACTTGGGGTGGGAGGGTTCTTGCAGAAGTCATCTTGTCTGCCTGTACAAGCCCCCACCAAAATCTGGACCAAAGTTACTCAGGTTTACTGTATTCAGTGATCTTGTTACCTTTGAAATGGGGCATTAGTCTTTATTTTCAAAACCAAGAAAGCAGATTTTAGTAGAAGAAGAGAAAGGTAGTCCTTAAAATTTTCCTCATAAGATTCTTTTTTATAAGCAAGCAATTAGAAACACATAGAGGGACTCTATGAAAATAGAGAGAATCAGTGGAAGCTAAGCTTACCAGAAAGGGTGACTCTGCACAATGCAGAATGATCTGATTTCTTAACCCATGCACATTTAATTTAGGCTCCAGCATTGAAATATTCCCTTCACCATGTCAACAGCCTTGTTTTCTAGTTTCAGCAGTTTGTGGGCCTTACGTTTGTTTAGACATTACTTTCATTTATGGAAAAATACACATAGGTAAAAATTTTATAGGTAAAAATATGTAGACTATATATAACTGTAAATATGTTTCATTCTTGAGTCTTTTGACAGTGTCAGCTATTGGAATTATGGATTTTGGTCTGTTGTGAGTGACTGCAAACTACCGACTCAAGTACCTGAAGTTAATTTATGTTCAGATAGCCTGATAAGTAGATTTTAAGAACAAATAAAAAGGGAGCATTTTCCCTCTAAAAACATTAATGAAGTTTTGATCCCACTGAAGCCAATGGGGGAATGTGTCTTGATTTCTGTACATTCAGGATTTTGCTGAATGTGTTTAAAATCCTACTGCTAGAATCAGGAATTCTGATCCCTTTCTTTAAATATATCTTGGTTGGAAATGGCAAGTATATACAGAGAGAATGAATGAAATTATGCAATTTTTCAAGTAAAACCAAAGTATTCATTTACTTCAAGTGCATTTGTCACTCTTGCATTTCTGAAAATTACTAAGAAGGATTTCAGAATTATGGATAAAAGTGAAACTCCTTAATTACTTTAATTTGCTCAGTTTAAATTTTTGCCAGCACTTTCATGCTGCTTCTTGATCATAAACACTGTAGATAAAGGGAGTTGGTCATAGGTTATGTTTTTTAAATAAGTACATAAAAATCTAATTGCTGAAATGTATGACAGGAATTTTGTCATAGTTTTGAGGTATCTTAATACACATTAACTGAATTGTCTTTTCTGCCAACTGTGTGGAAGCTCACATCATTGCTGTGGTAGTGTTAATTTTTCTTTCCTCCCAGCAGCCAGAAAGCATATCAGGTTCTGTTCAGTCTTCAGTGCTGGGGAAAGGTGTAAAACACCGACCTCCTCCTATCAAATTACCTTCAAGTTCAGGAAGTAGTTCTTCAGGTAATTATTTATTGACTCAAGCCTCTCCTTTTTACATGTTCTGCCTGTTGTAAAATTACAGGATATACCTTTAGTAAAGATTTAATAAAAAAATACCAGTGTCTTATCTGTGAGAAGAGCATATTTTTTTTGATTTCTAATTATATTGGCTACAAAATTGTACCCTAACAAATATTTGAGTTAATCTGTACTCACAGAACAACAATATATTTTAATTATGCTTTTTCAGGTAATATTTTTAGTTCACAACAGTCAAGTGGCCATCTAAAATCCCCAACTCCTCCTCCTCCTTCTAAGCCTCCTGGTCTTTCTCGGAAACAATCTATGGATCTTAATCAAGTTAACATGCTCTCTCCAGCTGCCATGTCTCCTGCGAGCTCTTCACAAAGTGAGTCACGACCTAAATTCTCCATTAAATCTTAGGCTTTTGTATAAATGCTTCCTGAGATAAACTTCTTAACCTGTGGAATGATGAAACTTAAGTGTACAGTGTACCCTAAATTGTATAAGTTGTGCAGCTTTAGGCAGGTCTCTTGTTCACTGTATGTAATTTCTGTTTATTGTAACTGTGTTTGTTTTCTGTATATATATATGTATGCACCCTCTGTGTATACGTTTTAATACATTTTATGCAATTAGTGTGATCTCCTCATATATGAAAGGCTGGTAGATGATGTGATGAGATAAAATTCCAAAGTGTAGATTTTTTTCCTCCAATGTAAAAACAGTATGTTAGATCAGTTTGCCTTTACATAATTTAAGCATCTAGTTTATTAAATGTTATAGGAGCTGGTGCAGTTGTGTATCTATGTATGTATATAATCTGATCAGTCCCAAGGTGATAATACAATAAACGATAAGATGATTTTTTAAAAACACTCCTACACTGTTTTACAAATCATTGCTGATTACAAGTGTGGTGGTGATGCTGATGATAATAGCACCATATCCTGAGGTGTTAAAATGCAAATTTCAATCAAAAGTGATGTCCCAGTTTAAGTATTTTCATTAACATTGTCAGGTTCATTGTAATCATAGCTATAGATCATAAAAAAATTTTAAAATACGTATGCGTCTTGAGCCATTTCATGAACAGATTTATACAAAGAGGAAACCATATCTGCAGTTTCTCAGTTTTCTTACGAATAGTTGTACACTGCACGTTTCAGTATCCTGCACAGTATTATAATATGCTTTTTGCATTAAATAATTTAAAAACTGGGTAGCTCAAAAGGTGTAACTTTTTGTTTTGCACAAAGAAAAAAAAAGAAAACTTATAAAAAGTTTTCTTCTAATATATTGACTCTGGTTTTATGTTAGTGCTCTGAATTGCGTAAATCTGCTGCACACAGTTGTTACGTTAAGGCTCTGGTCATCATTCACATTTATTTCCTTTCTTTCTGCAGGACATGAAAGCTTAAAAAAAAAAAAAAGAAAACAAAAAAAACCAGCTCAAGCTTTTGGGGGGTTATGTTTTTCTAATGATAAACTTTGGCTACTGCATCCACAAGAAATACAGCTGTACATGCTACATTCAAGCAGAAGGAATTACACAGTAGCTTTTAAAGATGCAGTATTATCCTCTGGTTCTTAAATAATTGCTTTTTAGTTGGTCCATATTTGGCAAATGGCAGTTTAACTATCTGATGAAATTTAGATCAGCCCCATGATGATGGAAATAGTACGTGTTCTTTGTTGGCTCTGTCATTTTCATATGTTTTTAACACTATGCTATTGTGCAGACCGTGCATATATAGTATTTATTTAACAGTCTAGGACAAAAACATTAATTAGGTTAAAGTGGCACTAAGAACTTGTAAGTATTCCTGAATGGAGTTATGACTTAATGTACGATAAATTATGGAAGCCTTAAAGGAGGATACAAATCAGTGTATGCCATAAGGAATGAAGCATGGAGAACAGGTTTTCTTTGTGATTATACTGCATCCTTAACAATGAGTGCGTGATGCAACACTCGTGCCATGTAGAACACTTGCAGTCTAAAAAACAGAACAAATTGTCACTGCTAAGTAAGATTCCATTAACCATATTATACAAAAAGGATTGGCCTTTTATAACAAACTAGCACTTTTTATTTTTCTCAATGAGCAGGGTCTGGAACTCCTAAACCATCTACTCCTACTCCAACCAACACCCCTTCATCGACCCCACACCCTCCTGATGCTCAGAGCTCAACTCCTATTACCCCTTCTGCCACCCCTACTCCCCAAGATTCAGGCTTCACCCCTCAGCCCACTTTGTTAACCCCGTTTGCTCAGCAGCAAATGTCTCTGAGCCAGGCACTGCCTGTAATGACCATTCCTCTTTCCACCATGGTAACATCCATTACTACAGGAACAGCCTCCACCCAGGTCATGGCAAACCCTGCAGGACTTAACTTCATCAATGTAGTGGGCTCTGTGTGGTAAGTCTTTTATTATGATGGTTTCTTAATTTGCCGTGGGTTGGTTGGTGGGAGGGGGAGAGTAGTCCAGAACTGTCCACCATCCGTTAGGATAGATATATTTCAGGATCTGCAATATAAGAAGTTCACTCACTTTTTTTAATTATAAAGTGAAGAGCCACTAGAAAATATTTTTATTTCTCAAATAGAAGGCACTTACTATTGGAATATTGAAAAGATCTATTAAGAAAGACATTTATTACGTTAATCTTTTTGGAGTCATATTTCTTAAGGCTTAATCTTGGTTGATTTCTGAGGTTTTGCTCAGAGGTTTTGAAAGCTTTTATTAATCAGAGAGGAGGTAGAATACCATATGCAGACCAATTTAAATGAAAAATGGAAACAGATTTGTTTTGATCAATTTAAACAAACATTGAGGTTAAACATTCTTCAGGCCTTAAAACTCACTTTGTGGTTTAAAGAAAATAATAAATGCTGTCAAGAATAATTTGTGTGGTATAACATGAACTACTTTTTAGACTAAATGAAATTCTGCAATTAAGATAGTTGGTGTAAGACACAGTGTGCGCCAGTGCAAGTATCCGACACTTGAATTATTCATCTAAGGTGTTTAGCAGTTGATCACTGTTGATAAATTGGGAATATTTTCTATAGGGCAAAAAGAAAATGCAGACCTGTTCCTTTTATGGTAGTACAACCATTTTGAACACTGTTGATCTTTTAGTATTTCTAGAGTAAAAGAACCGCTTGTAGTTTACTTTCTTTAGCTGATACCATAGAATTAAAAAACCTGTATATGGTGAGAATATGTTATGCTCTAGGCAAAACAATTTTTTTTAAACTGCATTGATGCTTTATCCATAATCCCATTCACAACAAACAATTGATTTACTTGCCATGAGACAGAGGGAAAAAATGTAGTTACTCAGATTCACTCGTGCCACTTGGGTTTCATATGTTGTCTTTCCTCTTCTACAGTGGAGCACAGTCACTGATGAGTGGTTCAAACCCTATGCTGGGGTGCAACACTGGTGCCATTGCCCCTGCGGGTATAAATCTGAGTGGCATTTTACCATCAGGAGGTCTGGTACCAAGTGCGCTGCCCGCTGCAATGCAGTCTGCCTCTCAAGCAGGTCAGTGTGACTCAGTTGAAAAACCACCCTTCAGATAGGGACAGTGTGGGAACGTTTTGTGAGAAAGATGGACGAAAGTGACCATTGTGGGAATAGACTGTGGATTTGATGGCTGGAGCTCAGGAATAACGTATGTGTTTTTGCATTCAAAGTATAGACTATGTTGGAGATTGTTTGAAGTTGATTTTCGGTAAGCTAGACTGGGGGATACACACTCGAAACCCGGATTGTTCGGTATGCTCAGTAGAAAGTTTGAGAGAAACTCCAAATTCAAATGCAACTTTGATAATGATGACTGCCAGAAAAAGGGCATGACTGAACTTAGAAAGAGGCCTCACTTTTTAAATGTGTGAGGCATTTTATTCTGTCCCTGGTACTACTTTCTTCTAGTACAACAATTAAATAATTCCTTATTGCCTTCAAATGTGACCGTGTAAATATTAAAAGCCCAATTTAAATTCTCAGTTTATTTTTTCTGAACATATAATAAAGAAAAAAACCCTAATGTATGATTACAGAATGAGAATGATAGGAGACTTCAAGATATCCATCCCTTATGCTAAGACAGTCAAATCTGTCTAAACCATATGGAACCAGTGTTTATCTAAATTGTCTTTACCTTCACTAAAGAAGATTCCAATCTTCCTCAGTAGCTCTTTGGAGTAGTTTATTATCCGTGTAAATTGTTTCCTTTTAATTACAGTGCATCTCCTTAATTGCAAGTTATTTTTTTTTCTCCTATACCTTTCAGGCATGTAAAATGATCGTTCACCCTTTCTCTTTACCTTCTAAATATCAAACATGCTGTCATGTCCCACATTTGTCTTCTCTTTCTGATAGGTCGTATTTTTCAAACTTTTCATAATGCTGTCACTCTCTTCTAGACTGTCCAATTTGCTTACATCCTTCTTAAAATGTGATAACCAAAACTGGACACAAGCCTGAGCTTGGCTGATTTACCACTGTGGAGCACAGCAGAATAAATGCATCTCATCTCTTTTACAACATTCCTGTTAACATTTCCCCAAATGAGGTCTGCCTGTTTTTTATCTGTATTTTTTTGCAAGAGCATTACATTAACATAAGAATGGCTTTACTGGTTTAGGCCAAAAATCCATCCAGTTTATATTCTGTCTCTGACAGTTGCCATTAGAGGATACTGAGGAAAGAGTTTAAGATGAGGCAAAAGTGTGAAGTAAAACATCCCTTCTCTACAACTGTACCTCTTCTGGCAATCTACAGCTTTGAGACTTTCTAAGCTGAAGAATATCCACATGGATCTTTGTGCTTAATATCCCATACTAGATTTCTAGTCTGTGGATTTATCTAATTGGTTTCTGAACCCATTTATACTTCTGGAACCTACAGCATCTTGTGACAGTGAATTTTATAAATGTAAACTCTCTGAAGAGGTTCTTTTCTTTTGTGTGCTCTGTAGTTTGTGATATGGATGATTTGGATATGTTTGTGACTTATTGTAACTTCTCATGTCCTTTCTTGCTGTATAGACACAAAGCTAGTTACAAGTTTGTACTTGTTCATTTGTCTTTTTTAAATTCAGTGTTATTGAATTTTGGACCATTTGTTCAATTCACTAGGATCACTTTTAGTCTAACTCTGCCCTTTCAAGCACTACCAACCTTTACCACTTTGGTGTCACAGATTTTTCCACGCTGTGCTGTCGCCCACACAACAGATGGGAGTAGTGAACTGAGATGGGTCTGTGTGAGACCTCCAGGGGTTCTGCTTGATAGCTGCTGGCTTACTGGAGAGCTGCTCAGATTTTGTGTGGGATTGTTTTCTGTTAAAGATTGATAAACTGAGAGTGTCTTACTTCATTGAGACCATGGAGTTTTTTACATTTACTGCACAAACAGTAAAAGTTTTTAAAGGCAGAATAAGAATCATTGAAGAGTAACTGCTAGGGTTCTCCATTCACCTTTGTGTAAATGCATTAGCAAGTTATAGGTTACAAGGTGCAGTGTTTAGTAGCAATATAGCTCTCTTGTACTTTGAGTCTGAATAACTGTGAATTTTACATTATGGAAAATGCAGCATTGTATTAAGTATAAAATTTACACTTGTCAGTTTTCCAACTTAGAAATAGTCCCAGTGGAAAGGTATATTGCAATTCACAAATATAACTGAGTAAAGCCTCCCTACTAATGAAAAGATGTTCTCTTTAACAGGCAGCCCCTTTGGTTTGAAAAATACATCAAATCTTCGGCCCTTAAATCTTCTACAGGTAATTGATATACTTGGACACAATAAGAATGATAATTTCTTATCTTTCTATAGAGACCTGTTTACTGCACTGCCCCACACAGATCTTTGGAGCCAGTTGGTCAGACCATTTACTGTAAATTTTAATTGCTTATTTAAAATGCTTAGAATAAGTGAAAAAGCTACATCCATAGATACCAGGTGGAAATTATATTCCTAGCTCAGAACAAAGCAGTTAATTTTCAGTAACGATCTAAAAATGCTGACATTTGGATTCAAAAGATTAATGCTAAACTACGATGTTCCATTTTCAGGATTTGCCTAAGCTCTTATTGCAAATCATTCTCTATACTGAAATTATGATTGTACTGTACAAAACAGTACAGTAGAATCACTCGGGGGTTACACATAGAATGCCTAAAAGCTGAGCTCAGCATGCCCAGGTAAGTACAGTAATAGGTTTAAAGAGTTTCTGGTAATGGAAATAGAAGCTCCTGTGGGATAAGGAGTTTAGAATGTCTGTAAATGCTTTCTTTCCACTAAGCATGCATACAAATATAAACATGAGCAGAATATTGCTTATTATGTCAGAGTTGCATTTAAAAGCAGAACAGGGACTGTTTGTGGAACTGGCTGGCGTTCCCAGATCTTGAAGTCCGCTGCCAGTTACAGGTGCAGAATTGCAGCTACGGTGTTCCATATGTGTTGCACCATGCTTCAAAAATTATTACCAGTGAAAGAACAGCTGTAGCTTTGCCACTTCCTTCTCCCACTCCTGTAACATACTCCAGAAACATGGAAAAGGGAGGCACAGGAGGCAATTATGCCAGAGTAGAGCTCTTCTATAGATCTAAATGCTTGTATTTGTGTGATTCCACATTGAAGTACATTTCAGGCTAGCTCTGCCACCCATATACACCAAGAATATTTGGCTGAAATCAGTGCAATTAAAGCTGGGGTAAGGGAGAGGAATCAAGGCCATCTCACTATCTATTAAAATCCAGTGGAATGTTCTGAAAGTGGAAACAATATGCAGGGCTTTTGAAGGCTAACATTTACATTTTCAGTATCAGTACAATACTGTTTTAATTAGAATAATTAAAATATATTCTTCTGTGGACATATCTCACTATAATTGCACACAGGTTTGTTTTCAGAACATAAGACTTTTTCACAAACAGCAGCAATTGTAAACTTACTGATTTTAAAGGAATTAAAAAACAAAACAAAAACCAAACCTCTAGGGAGTATGTCATTATCAATATTATGTTCATCCTAGAACAGTGGGAAACTCAGCAGTTTGAATTATGCCTTTTGTTTTTAATCTTCAGCAGCTTCCAGGTGGTTCACTTATTTTTAACCCACTCCAGCAGCAGCTGGAGCATGCACAGTTTTCTCCACAGCAACAATCTCAGCAGCCCACGACCTGTAGATCTCAGCAACAGGGAGAACCTCCCTCAGTCTGGGGTGCATGGATGAAACTGTTTCTCCTATTCTCCCCATCTTCACAAGTAAATGAGCCTTTACCCAACAGATCTGTAGCAGAGGGGGAGGAAAGTCTTCCTCCTAAATCTTCTCAAACAGCAAAGACTGCAGTGGCTCTGTTGCTAACTGGGTTATACTCCTTTATTTGTATCCTATATAGAAGAGCTGTAACAAAACAACTGGCTGAGCATTGTCTAACTCTTATCATGAAGAGAGCCAGCCTACTGTATGAGAGGTGTAAAATCAGCTTAGTGTTAACGTTTGTCATAACTAGCCGATACATCAGATGAACAGAGAAAAAAACACTGTCAGGATTTTTGCAGAGTTAACTAAAACTTCCTACTTACACTGCTGTGAGTTGGCTTACAATCCTCACTGCTGTAGTTCAACAGAATTTTCTTTGCACCAAAGGAAGTATCAGTTGGCTTTAATGATGTAATCTTAAGGCATTTGCTCTAATGCTGCTTGTAATTGGTGTTAAAGGCTTCAAGCATTGAAAACGTCTAAAGTCTTGTTCTCGAGACCTGTTATCAAAATGACAAATTTTGAGTGGTTAGTTCTACCTGCACTAAAAAATCTTTACCAACACTGATGCAGCAATTTGGGAAAACTAGCTGCTCTGCTTTTGTGCTCGTCTTCCCAGACATGCAAGACTTCTGCTTACCAAATAGTCTCTACTGGATACTGAAGTTTGTCATAATAATTTCACTTGTGTTCCTGTAGACTGTTCATAAACAAGATGCCTGTCTCAGATGTTTTATGGTGTATAGTGCTTAGTGGAAACAAACTAAGCCCAAAAAGACCAACAATTTTCTTGGCTACCAACAGAATATATGTATTCTCATGTCATTCTTAGGGTTTTCCCCACATGGTGGTTCTATGATTCTATAAGTCTTAGTCATCACTGAGGTGATGATGTCTTCTTAATGTGCAATCTTTTGGTCTGGTTTACTTAGATCTTAGTGGCATTATATCATATGGTTATGCTAAAGAAGCATCACAAATCCTGGAATGCACCAGCTCTTTATCTGACTGATAAGCCATGCAGCTTGCTTGGATTGTGAATATAATGCTTTATTTCCCTATGTTATAAATCAATGCATAATTTAAGTTCTAGAAGAGGTCATTATTCAGCACCCTTTGACTTCAGGAGATACTGTCAGACTCCACTTACTCCATTTGAGTGATTACTTGAGAACTACTCTGTTCTGAAAATATAATTTTAAAAGCAGGGTTTGTATTTTTTATGAAATTAAGGTGTGTGTGGCACAATGAGCATGGGAAAGTAAAGTGTCAGGCTTTGAACACTTTGATTGATTAGGACCTTTGCACATGGATGGTTTCAGGGTCACCTGAAGACTCCGGGGCTGGGAGTAGGATAGGAAATAGTCCTAAGATTACAACCATAAAGTGCAGTCTCTGCTAGACTGCAGGGAAAGAAGTTGACAACTACATGGGACTTCTGCAGGGTAACAGGTGCAGTACCATTTCTGCCAAAATAAAGCTGTTTGGGGGCAATCTGCATCTGTTCTACTTGTAGTGACTGCTACATCTACATGCACTGGATGACATAGCATTAAATGTTTTTAAATGGCACTTCAAAAGTTTGCCTTCACACTGGCTTTGTTTGCTTATACATTGATACCAAAGTTTGGTAATAAGGATCAAGCTTTTCATTTTTGCTAGGGGTCTGACCAAGGTCCATCCAATCAAGATCAGGCATTATCTGCCCAACAAGCTGCTGTAATTAACCTGACTGGAGTAGGGAATTTTATGCAACCTCAAGCCACAGGTATGTGCTTGCTGAGCCTCCTTTTGTAGTTAAATGTGTATATTGATAAATTCACACTGAAATGAAGTTTGGTCTTAAAGAAGTCATGTGTTAGATCAGAACAATTTAATGATTATCAGCATGTGAATTACACAAGAAATACTGGACTTTTAACGCATGCACTTCTCTATTTTATTTGGCAGTTAAGTGCAGTCAATTGATTGTATCACACGAAAATAAGCTACACTTTATACAAAAAGAAAATGCAGGGAACTTCCATGCCAGACTTCATTGAGGAATAATTCTTTAACTCTGTGCTTAACATCCACTGTGAGAAACCTCTTTGTGCCTCCACAAGCACTTCATAATCTAACTATGTTCTAACAGAGTATGTATAGCATGTATACCTTATTCTGCACTGTTTCCAGTTTGACTCTGAAACTAATTCTATGGATCCCCCTTTCCTGTATTCCTGTGTTACACTGTATTCCTGTGTTACACTGTATTCCTATGTCTTCCTTCCCCAACCCTGACAAACTCGACCTCTTTGACCTGCCTGCTTTCCCATTCTCCTTTCTCAGTGTTGTCTCAGCTTGGCTCTGCCATGAACAGACCTGGGCAAAGCCTTCCTCAGCAGAGACTCCAGCTCTCTTCTGGCTTGCAACAGCAACAACAAGCCTTGCAGCAGCAGCAGCAACAGATACAAGTAATCCAGCAACTTCACTCTGTGTTTAAAAAACAAACAAACAAACCAAAAAACTAAAAATACAATTCTTGGCTCCAAAATCAAAAATCTTGCCCTTTTGACTTCTTTAACTAATGTCACTATGGTCTCACAAATTACAAAAAACAAACAAACATGAATTTGGCAAACCATTATGCAAGATTTATAATCTGTGGTTATCTCAGCTTGGAGCACTGAATTTATTTTTATTCATTTAAGCCATCCACCTTCCTGATACGAAAACATTCAAGGGGTGCTTGTGGCACATATCTAAATCAGCTCTGCCAGGTGCCAATAGATTTTAAAATGGCATGAATGTAAGCACCTGCAAGTTCAAATGCAGCACTGCTACAATCAGCACGTGGAAGCAACAGCTCTACAAAGCATTCCTTTTACCATTCTGTCATCCAGATGCTTTATGAAAATATTTTAATATTTTTTCAGCACACAGTCCCCTCTTTGTAATATATACAGAAAATACATACGATGCATACACTGAGAAGGTAATATGTTAAAAATGTACTATGTGACCTAAATATTCACAGAAGTTGCTGAGTTACTGAAGTTACTGCAATGGAGAGAAAGGGCAAAGAAACAAGGCTGGGCACATACACATATAAAATGATAGCTGTGCCCTCAGCAGGTTTCTGTGCCACTGGTGCTGCTTGACTGTACCCACTGCCCCAGTACATGGTGTATTCCTTTGGTCAACCTGGTGCTTCCTCATTTTTCTACCTTCCCCTCTCCCCCCCCACCTTCCTCTCATTCTTCCTGACATGAAAGCTTTATAGTCAACACTAACAAGCTTTTTCTCCTCCTTCTCCTTCATGGCAGCAGTTGCGATTCTTGCAGCATCAAATGGCTATGGCAACGGCAGCAGCACAAGCAGCTCACCTGCACCATCAACAGCATTCAGGCAGCCACTCAAAAAGTAAAAGGAAAAGAGGCACACCGGCCCCTCCAAAATCATGAGACTTGCCTCCTCCCCAAAAAATTGGTTCAAAGGGGATTTTTTTCAGATTAATAAGGAGAAAGCTTAAAGTTAAATCAGTGGTTTTTATTACTGGTGGGAAAATTAACTTTTGACATTACACTAAAAAAAATGAACTGATTTTGGAAGCCAGCCCTACAGAACCTAGAAATTTCATCTATAAAGCAGCTAGGATCTGGTTTCCTTAAGTCAATTTTTTAACAGAATGTTTTATCTTGTATTTTTTACCACTCAACAGCTCTGTACATAGGGTGAAAAACATTTTAGAAAAAATGAACTTTGTAAAGGTAGTATTGGTATTTGTTTATTTAGTATAAAAGGTTTGTGAACACTGTAACAAATACAATTTTTACAAATCCATTTTTGAAAAGCTCTCTCCTTTTGTTCACTTGGGCATTATACTTTTTATTACTTTGTCTATCAGCTTCTTTACTTCTTTGTGTCTTGTAATTGCTCTGGTGATACAGTCCTGAAGCTTGGCTCCTGTAAGAAGACTTCCACCTAAAAATTAAAGGGAACAATTTGATTTTCTACTTATACTTCAGTTATGTATCTCTAAATGTGATTTCCAAATAAGAGTATTAATACAGTCATTCTCATGAGCAACACCTTTCATAGGGGAGCATGCAGCTTTCCCAGCTCTAGCCTCAGGCAAAGATAATGGAAACAAACTAGAGCTGTAACAGGAGACATGCTCAGTATCTGTCCTCTGCTGTATGTAGGTCAAGCTGTGACTTCTTTTTGAACTTCAGTCATGCCACCATCTTAAAAACTATTTTCAAGAGCAAGTAATTTAATGAGTACTTGAACAGGCACTCCATTACTATAAAGCACCCAAATCTTACAAAACAAAGCAGGTACATAGTCTTTTCTTGACCTAAACATTATCATCTCCATAGGTTTCTTTGTAATAAGTTTGGAAGTACCTGGTTTATGGACAGAACATAATCTGCCTTCTTCATCAGTGACAGTGGTTACTGTTCCAGTTGCTAAATCTTCTTTTTTAGCAGTTGGATCAACAATGAGTACTGTGCTTGTGAAAGCAAGACTCATGCAGACTTGTTTGTACATATTGCTTCATTAACATTATTGCAAAACACATATAACGTTAATTTTTACTGTAGTCTTACAAAATACTTGCAGCTGGATTTAGTGCCCAGGCTTACCTGTTTTCTTAGCAAAGTGCACCAATTTTAAAAAAATTAAAAAGTCAAAAAATATGGGAGATTCCACATAATCAAGTGCATATGTCTATTGAAAATGCAGCTTTATGCCTAAAGTTTCCTAGATTTGTGACATCCGTGTCTTGCAGGAAAATGCCACTAAACTGCCATTTGAAGGATGCAGTCACTTATTTTGTAGTTACATGAAGACTGATACAGGGTGTAGGCTGCACTAATCTCCACCTTAATGCAAAACTCATTTCCAATGGTAAGTTCACCAAAGTAGTTCTCAGTTTCTTGTCAGAGAACTCTAATATCACTCAGCCTGGGAATGGTTAAAAAATGGATTTACAGGGTGTTTGACTGTCCTTAAGGCATCCAAAATAAATTTGTCATACATCACATGATGCATATCTCTGAGAGATTAAATACTTTTATTTTTGAGCCATTTAAGTTAAAAATAGAGCAAAATCAATGGAAAAAAAAGAGGATCTAACTATAAGCCAACTTTGTTCAACAAATAAAACTTGAACTTAAAGCTGAACTTTAAAACCTCCCAATATTTCAGATTGCCATTTAATAGCAGTAGTAAAAAAACACAAGTCCTTAGCTACACTGTTCAAAAATGCTGCTTTTTGAAGTCTAACCGCATGCACTGTGACACATCAGCCCTTTGTGTGATGCAGGGAGGTGTGAAGAGTTCAATGCATCATTTATTTTTTATGTACAAGTCAACACCCCAGGAGCCAGCTGTGGAGCTGCACCACATTCTGCACCAGTGCTCCTCACCCATGGCCACACTATCCAGTAACCTACAAGTTTTATTTATTTAAGGAGGGCTTTTATACAGAATAAAAATGCCTCTGAATGCCAGAGTATGTAAAGCATTTTATTTAGAGGGCTGTGTCAACAGCTGTAGAACTAATAAATGAGAATTAAACAAACCACACAACATAGGCACACACCCCCTCGATATTTAGTTTTAGGAGCTCAAGGGAGACTTAAGTAGCTTGTTTGATGCAACAGTTGATTTCGGTGAAGGAAACAAAGCCCGAGACATGCATGGAAAGCTTTCTTACAAAGGCAATTTTTTCATCTGTGTGTAAGTAAGTGTGATTTGTGTGTCTGTCTGGTATGTTACCCAACCTCTCTCACTTTCAGTCTACATCAAACTTCAGACCCATCAGAACTGGTATTAAAGCAATTAACACAGGCACTCTGAAGTACTGATAAAATGGTGTTCTGGTTCATTTTGGTAATCACTTGGTCAACATTTGAGTTAATTGCTTTCCCCACCCTATCTCTTATTTGAGTGAAAGGCCCTGCTAATCACTTCTGTGAATACAGATTAATGTGCCATAAATCACGGATATCTCTAAATAGAGCTAAATCTTACACAGTGCAGTGAGCACTGTCCTTCTTGTCATTTTCTGCTTTCAAATGGATGCCACCAGAAATGACTGCATTTCTTCTAAACAGCAGCAGAAAATATCCTTAACATACTTGGACTAATGAAGAGCCTGTAAACAATTTCAGGTGAGGAGTAAATTACCAGATGTGATTATTCTGAAATCTCATAATTCGATTATTTTCCTATATGAACAATGACTTAAGAATGCTGGTCATACTTCATCTTGGGTAATTATGTTTTCAGTTATCCAGAGGTTATGTTCTAACTGGACTGTTACTTCTTACTTGCTCTGTTGATTACATCATTAGTATAAGCTGTTCAAAAACTACCATCTTTTATATCAGTTATTTACATAGGCTTCTAAAACATTAATTGCATTGGTAACATTGTTTCATTTCACGGATACTACAAAAACCTAAAACAATACCTACCCCGTACTTTTAAGCATATCTTTTAGGCTGGGAAACAGTTCTGCTTCAAGTAACAGGAAGAAGCTATATATGTTTTGTTCTGCATACTCATTCATATCACAGAACTACAGGTCAGTTCAACAGGAGAGGCCTGGATTTAAGACGAGTTAAACAGCACTGCCTGAGGCTGCATACTCATCACTAGAAGTGCAGAGGCATCACTGGTAGCATCCTCTGTCTTTCACTCAGACTTTTACAGACACAGTTGTTTCCGTAAGTACAAAACAGTTATGAACTTATCAAATACAGCAAATGATGTGGCAACTGGATGCTTTCTGATAATCAAAGGAGTCTTCTGTTTTAAATTCACTTCTGATAAACCAGTTTCTTCATTTATAATAACCGATGGCAGTTGTACTGAAGAGATAAAAAAATTACAGTGGTCTAATATTAAACATTGCTGGGTTTAGCAGGCCTAAAGATGTCCAAGACTACTGAAATATTTAAGCTGTTCTTTTAACCCACCAAAAATCAATCAAAGTTTTGGCTATGTTAATGGTACTCTTGATTTCAAGCAAAGTATTTAGCTTAGGACTACCTGTTCAAGGAAGTATTTGATTTTTCTCCTGAAAGTAACAGAAGCATTTCTCCTTGCACAGAAGCATTTTCTACTTCCAAAATGCCATGCAATTAAAATAGTTTGGAGTCATATTTAACAAAAAGTATTTTTTCCCCAAAAAGCCTACTGGACACATAAAAACCAGGAATATAGTCTCTCCAGGTGTTACACACCTATGGCACCCGTATCATCATTTCCACTTTGTGTTTTAGTATTTTAGCATTCAAATGACAGGAAACAAACAGTCCTAACAGACTGTGAACCAGTTACCTGTTAATCATGGTTCAAAACTAACGCATTTCTCCAAGCAACACTAATCAGAACATGTTTCTTGCTCTAAGGAAGACTTACCATTTTTTAATGCTGCTAACAAAGCAAAGACACTGGCATCCAAAAGGTTTCCATCATAGTCCAGACATGATATCACAGTATAACACCCAAGCAAGCTATCAAAAAAGGTTTGCACATGTGAGATATCACAGCAGCTAAGCAAATGGTGCAATATGCAAGAAAATTCTGGCCACATTGAATACAGATACTGATTTCTATCTTGCAATTTTTACACTTCAGATGTAAACCAAGCTATGAAGACTGAAAAGCAAAACAACAGAACAACCTATAACCCCAGATACCTTCTTTTACATCTCATTACTGAGATCTTGTTAGTATCTCCCTCTTCACTTCTATATACAACTTCCCTTGCCATTTGCAATACACAGATCTTCTTTCACTATCATCTGTGAACTAAAATAAGATCAGAGAATAAGCCAGGAAACAGAAAACTGTGTTGCAGAGTTGTCTGTGTTTTAACTGTACTAAGATGGTTCTTACTTTTCAATCATATCTGCAATGAACTGGCTCGCTGCTTGAGCCTCTTCACCAGGTGGTCCAGAGCGAAACCTCTCTGAACAGAGGGATGGTAGTTCTACATTTGGTACTAGGTATCAAAAAAGCAGGCAACTGGATATCAAAAACAGATATGACAACAGTCACTCTTAATACCATTTCATGTACTTCAAATGCAAGGCAAGACCAAAAATTTTTCAATCAAGCCTCCCTACTCCCTTCAAAACTAAAGTTATGCATGAGTTGATATTAAAGAACTTGTAGTACTCTGTATATAGAAAATATATATTTCATGGAAAAACATATAATCCTAACTACCATATTCTATTTATAATCCTGCTATGACTATCACAACGCCACACAAACTCTTCTTAAAGTGTTAGGCACTCTTCAGTAGATCAGGAAACAGAAATATTTTCATCCCACTGCCTGACTTGACCGGTATTGCTATCTGTTTTTCATCATCCATTAAAAACTGAAGCTTTAAACTTGAAGCAAAAACATGCATAAACATTTGGGAAAAAACCCCAAGCTACTGAAAACAACATACTTTGGAGATGCCTTGCAAAAAAGGGATTTGGTCTAACCTCTCAGTTCCACAGAACTATTTTATTTCCAAAGAAACTCCTAACAGGAGCAGGGAGGTACTCCCGCGACTTTTACAGTTTTCTGAGAAATAAACAGGGTTTATTTTTTTAAGAGTTACATTTTTTGCCTACTGGGACTTCAAAACTGGAGTTAACATGCCTTTGCTCAACCTTTCATGCCACAATCTTTTACAGATTAACTACCTTCCCCCTCTTAATATACACACTTGCCCCTGCTGCAGATCTGTTTCCAACCTGGCCTGGAATCAGCCATAAAAGAGTACTTTTACATGGAAAACTCACAAGCAGAGCAGAGGGAATTCTAAAATTTTCGAAGTACCACTGCCTATATGTCAATTTGAAAATATAATTTTACCAAATCCATTCTCTTAAGAAATCTTCACAACATAATCTGTAATTACAGCATCTTAATTGAAGCAGTACAAGACCTGAGCAAGATCCATGCTGAAACACTCACCAATATATCCCTTATTAGCAGAATCTGCTGCAGGTGCAGCAAGTTCCTGGAGAAACAAAAAAGACGAGATTTTCCAGCTATTCTATACATAAATAGCCATTTTCTTACCAGTTATCATTACAATGATATTTACAAAAGCCATTTTTAGTCAGTCCTTGTCTGTAAATTTTCTATGGAAAAATTCAGTACAGGGGCATGCAGTGACTTGGCTCACAGTTCATGGAGGGCCAGCAGTAAAGTTGAGGCTACAAAGCATGTAACAGTCCAGCCATCTAATCCCCAGTGCACTTATTGATCCATATTCAGTAACTTCTCAATTATATATCTTTTATCTAGAAATAACAAAGAGTTTGTATTTGTATACATCTTTCCCCCTACATGATGGGCACCATAAAAATACATGTCCTCAGACTATACAGGTAGGATTAGGTAATTAATTCCTATATTAAGTTTCATGTCTGAAAGTAACTCAGGTGAAAAACTGTAATTGTGTCTGACTGGCACATCATTGTAACTCTGTGGGCAATTCATTCTAAACACCAATGCACAGATTAAGCTAACATAAATTAAAATAAAAGCCAACCATACTGATTTCACTCCACAAATCACCGTGGTACTTCCTAACTTCACCAGGGCAGAACCATCTGCAGTTGTAATTGAACCTGAAGAGAAAGAGTACTGTTCAATAAAATCTATTTTTCATTCAAAGAGCATTATTAACATCTGCCTTCACAAACTGTTAACGTCCCATCATTTTATACTAAACAGAGGCTAAGCAACATCTCAAATCCAGAGTGGGACAATCACATAGAATGGCTGAGGCTGAGACAGCTGGACCTCATCTGGTCCAACACCCCTACTGAAGGAGGGCCACCTAGAGCTGGTTGCCCAGAACTGTACCCAGATGGCTTTTGATTATCTCCAAGGAAGGAAACTCCACAACTTCTCTGGCCAACCTGTGCCAGCGCTCCATCACTCCATCAGTAAAAAAGTGTTTCATCATATTCAGAGGGAACATCCTGTGCTATAGCTTGTGCCCATTGACTTAAGTTCTGTCACTGGGCACTAATGAATAGAACCCGGTTTTGTCTTCTCCGCACCCCCCCTTATATACACTGCCCCGCATTGGACACAACACTCGAGATATGGCCTCACCAGTGCTGAGCAGAGAGCAAGATCACCTCCCTTGACCTGCTGGCAATGCTGTGCCTAATGCAGCCCAGGATAGCATTGGCTTCTTTGCAGCAAGGGCACTTTACTGGCTCATTTTGCCTCTGCTTGATTCAGTTGCCTACCAAGCTTAGAACACAGCAGAAGCCACGACTCAGTGTCCCTCCCAAGATGCTCAGGCATCAATTTTGTGCTGGTCAGCGTATGCCTTGACACTGCCTTCCACATCTATAACATATGCTGCTGACCTGAGACAGAGACAAGATTCCACAACCACCTAATTTGTGCTGCATATACCAGGACAGAAGCAGACCTGAGTAATTACACTGTGCACATCAACCTAGGATCAGGACTGAAAACAATGTTAAAGTATATTACTGTACCATGCATTCTCTTTCATGCTTGCTGAAACAGTAAATAAAAATCCTTTCTCTTCCTTGTTGCAAAGCAAGCACCAAGAAAACCAAGCAAGTCATTAAGGTCACTATTATAACCTGATGTTAATAATACCTCCCCCATTATTATTATTATTCCAAATAAGCACTTGCCTATGTTGACAGTGGTTGCCCGGAATTCACCTAACTCCCTTCCATCAGGTTGACAGTTCTCTTTCTAAACAAAAATTACAAAGTTCAAATTAGAAAAATATTTTATTAAATAATACAGTAATATTTATGGTATAGGAGTTGATATAAAATAATATTCTTTTTAGCAGAAATATGCAGCCTCAAAAATGCTAGGGAAAACTTGGTCACACTCTAGCTGGTTTTTCATCAACTGGTATGTAGTTTGTGGTTGTAGGCCTGCAAAAAAAAAAAATCCCTTATTATAATTTATTATATCCTTTATTATAATTTATTTAGAAAATATAACAATAGATTTATTGTCTCAAAGGTAAGTACTACAGGCTAGATTCAGAATATCATCCAAGAATGAGTACCCATTGGTAACTTAAAATGAGAGTTTCCACCTGTTTATATTGTTCAGGTTTCGTAGGCAATTGCCCTCCTCCATTCCCACCTAGTGGAGCTCTAAAGAGAGTGAACAAAAAACAACCCCCAAAACAACCCCCAAAAAAACGCATAATTCAAATACCATCAGGCAGAAGCTGTACAATACTGGACTCTTAAGTCAGAAATTAAAATAATATTCCATCATGTTAGATCTGAAGAACCGCAAGAAAAAAAAATTCATTATAAGCTATTTATACAAGCATCTCACATTTTACTCACCAAAAATCTTTTGTAATATTCCAATGGTTCCACAGTTCTAAAACAAATAGAAAGAAGTTCACATGCAAGCTCTCGAGTAGGCAACTGATAGCAAAAAAAAAGATAAGCAAGCACTAACCCACAACAACATATAATTTGAGAAGCAAGATGCCTGGCAAAGCTGCTTAGCAATATGCTTACAGAAAGAGGAGGAAACTCTGAACTGCCTAAGATGTTTTCCTACATTCAGTTCCAAAATGCCTCCTCCTTACAAGGAACCTGCCTGCACATATACCTAACAAAAACTACTAAGCTTTCACCTCAGTAATATTAGTTATAAATCAAAAGAAGTGTTTACTGACAGAAGGGTATAGAATGGTTTTCAAGAAATGCAGAAAGCATAATGTTATAACTGTGTCTGAAATATGTTAGTTCAAGGACCACATTCAGATGTACAAAATGGTATAAAACAATTTTAAATGCTACAGTTTTTCTTAGAATCTTTGAGAAAATATAAAATTACAAAATATGCTTCGTGCAAGGCTTCAGGTGAGAAATAATTAATGCTCCTTATTAATTACATACTACTAACAGTCTTTGTGTATTAGTATTTTAAGCAGGGATGATTAATGTAAAAAAAACCTCACCTTTTTTTTATAAAAGTGTTAACACTTAAAAGGGAAAAGCAAGTTTTCGAAATGCAAACTAACATATAGAGATATCACAAACAAATGGCAAGCATGAATTAGTTCCTGTTGGCTCCACATATGTTGGTCCTGTACTACTGGTTTTCTGAAGCCCAACACAAGGCCTGTTCTCTCCCAATTCACGTAAAAGCACTTACTAAACAGTGTTTTGTGCATTTAAGACATAAATACAGAAGCAAGAACACTAGAATAGGCTGCCCAGAGAAGCTGTGGATGTCCCATCCCTGGAAGTGTTCAAGGCCAGGTTGGATGAGGCTCTGAGCAATCTGCTCTAGTGGAAGCTGTTCTGCCAGCAGCAGGGAGGTTGGAATCAGATGATCTTTGAAGATCCCCTCTGACCCAAACCATTTTACTATTCTAAAACTAGTAGTTATAAATGGGAAGCCACTGAATTCCCTACAGTTTTAACTTCCTTGTAGTTCTGTCAGCTGTGTCAGGGGAGGTTTAGGGTGGATATCAGGAAAAGGTTCTTCACCCAGTGGGTGGATGGGTGCCGGAAGAGGCTCCCCCGGGGAAGTGGTCACAGCATCAAGCCTGAGAGAGTCCAAGAAGATTTGGACAACGCTCTCAGATGTGAGACGTCACATGTGGTGTGACTTGGGTGTCCTGCGCAGGTCCAGGACTTGGACTCGGTGGTCCTTGTGGATCCAACTCGGGATACTCTGCAATTCTGTGACACCAGGCAGCTCCGGGCCACACCGAGTTCCGCGCTTTGTCGGGCACTTTCCCGGCAAGAAAGGGGGTGCCCTGCTCGCTCAGCAGCCCCCCGCACACGTCGGGGCCCCGCAGCCCCCTCAGCACCGACCCCATCCCGGGGGCCGCGCCGAGCCCGCTCCCCTCGCTCCCGCAGTAGCACAGGGGGGCCCGGCGGCGCCGCGGGACCTGCGGCTCTGCGCGATCCTCGCGCGCGGGCGGGGGCCCCCGGAGCGGGGCGGGCGGACTGCGGCCGCCAGAGCCGGCACTTACTTGAAGGCGGCCGCCATGGCGGCAGCGCCGCCGCCCCGCACGTGCCGCCCCCTGGCGGCGGGCCCGCCCGGCGGGCTGCGGGAGGACGCCTTGGCGGCGGCAACTCGGGGCGGCGGCGCTGGCGGGCCCGGCCGCGGGGGGCGCCGGTGGTTCCCGGCGAAGCGGCCCGCTTCCGCCTCGCGCAGCGCCGTCCCCGTCCCTGTCCCTGTCCCTGCCTCTTCCCCTGCCCGCAGCCGCCGGCGGCCCTCGCCGCCCTCTTCCTCGTCTGGTGGGAGCCGCGCAGCGCGGTTTCGGGGCGGGCCCGGGGGACTCCGTGGCGGGGGCGATCGCGGAGCTGCCCCTTGCCCGCCCCCGCGGTGCGGAGCGGCGGCGCTGCCCGGCGGTCCTGGCCCCTCCGGGGTGTTCCGGGGGGCTGCGGCGGGCCCAGGCAGGGCTGGCCCAGGCTGGGGGCAGCGCGGGGGGCACCGAGAGCCGTGCGGGCAGCAGCCGGCGGGGCTGCGCTGGTGCGGGGGTTGGTGCGGGCAAGGCGTCCGGGGACGTGCGGAGGGGATAAAGACACCTTGGGAAGTGTCCTGGTACCGCCCGTTCGCGGTAACCGTCTGGGAGGTCGCTGCGTCTCTGCGTGGCTGAAATACCCGGCAAGTTGCAGAAGTTGGACGCTCTGGAAGGCGGAGTTCTGCTGCCTGTCCGCAGTGCCGCGTATTCCTCCTGCCCGGGGAGGTGGTGGAGTCACCGTCTCTAGTGTGAATTTAAATTCCCCTTTTTTTAAGCCTAGATATGACCTAAGGTCTTGCTGCCCTCTTAAAATGAGATCTTTAATTACTAAGCAAGAAAGTCCTGGCTCTGGCTCTTGATGTATTCCAGAGCCCCCACTTAATTTTACAGAGTGTCACAACGTGGAACGGAAGGCTATGCAGACAACTTCCCTGATCACCAAAGCTTGTCATTCAAATCAGCGCTCTGCCTAACTTGTCCTCACTTTTCTCTTTATAGATTTGCAGCAATAAATCAGTGAACTCTTAACCTTTACCATTTCTTCCTACCCTTGCATTTGCAAGGGTGACCCAGGGAGGTGGAAGTCTTCTATGTTACTCACTGTCCTGCATGACCCAGCCCTCCAAAGACACATCAAAACAAAGTATTCTCAAAGACTTTGAAAAGGAAATAAAAACAAATAGAGAAAATCTACATGGTAATTTTGCAACATTCTTGCCAGCATCAATGTCTGCATAGTTAGTGCTTTCAAAAATACAGATTTCAATTTTTTAAAAACATATTTTAGTATCTCTGCATAAAAGCCTTACTTTTCTGCACCCTTTGACTAATACTTCCTAAGAGACTTTTTCAAGAGGTAACTTGATATAAAAGAGTTGTCTTTGAAAAACACATGCAGAAAAAGCAAGTTACTGAAAAAGGTTCAGTTTACACGAGTTTTCTTCACTGTTACCATTTTTTATCACAAACAATAGCAGTGCAGTATCCCTTGATACACATTTAGCTTTTATCCTTACAAGCTATTTTTTAACTCATATTTTAAATATCTAATGGAAAACCAGTAAAAATCTCTTTTTACTCTCAGGTATGTCTGCAGATGTGCAGTATGTTCTCTGTGACAACTCTAGCAGTTAATATCTCGAACAGGTTTCAGCAACACTGCAGCATTATTACAAGGCAGGGTAACTCTTAAATGAGTAATAACACAGCTTTAATCAATTTTAACCTATATAAAGTTCTCAGAGGTCACTGTTGGGAAATTAAATTATATCAATATATATAAGCACAAGCAACATTTCCAAGCCATTGAATAGTCCCAGACAGTATTTAACTTGAATTCTCTGCTAATGTTTAAGGCTCTGGAGACCTATCCATAATTATTTATGTACCTATTGTCCAAGTGTTCCTTGAGTTCACAGTCATAATGGTGACTGTAAACTAAAAATAGTTGAAATGAAGAGACAGGCGAAGACAGAAAGCTGCAATGAAGCTTCTGTATCTCAGTGTTTATTACTTAAAATAACATTTAACCTTATTTATGATACATGTATGTTTCTTAGGGCTGTAGTGGCATGTCTGTAATAGCTCAAGGGGCATGAATTAAAGTAGTGTTCCAACATTGTTGAAGGCTGCACCCTGCCAGTTGAACCATGAGTTATCTACCTCTGTGGGATAGGGATTTAGAGGTTAAGAATCGGATGCTCCTACGACCTGCTTGTTGCATTAGCCAACGGCACATAGGGGAGTCTTGAGCACACAAGCCCTCAGGGGAGAAGCTATAAACAAACTTTAGTTTCTTACTGGGAAAAGAAATGGCATTTTCATATGACCAAACTTAAGTAACAGTTGCGAGATCATAGCTGAGAGGGGTGTGCTAGAAAAGAAAGAGCTAACTAGCCTCCATTTTCCTGGGTATTTTTTAATCTACTTTTCTTTATACTGTTCATCGAGCTGTTCAATTCCCAAGCTGCATAATGAGGTATTTCCCTGATTTAAGAAAGAATTTTTCCAGTCCCGCTTGCTTAATAGAACAACCTTTACTGTTTTTTCATCAAACAGTAAAATTCTGGTCTTGCAAAAATGTTTTCTGATGTTATGTCTAATTTTACTATTCTTGACAGTTTATTTTCTCAATAAAAAGCTCCATAAGAACAGTAACAGAAGAAAAAAAACAGTTTTCTGCATGATACTGCAATGGGACTACAGGAAGGACCAATTATTCTCATAAAGGAGACAGCAAGCAATTTTATTCCTGTATTTGCTAGAAAGCTAGAAAAAAAAAAGAGTGGTTGACTGCACAATATTAGTTTTAAGCAACGGCTGCATTCATTATTCATGTTCTCATACATTGCCTCAACTTCCGTGATACCTCCGAAATTCTTACACCCACACTCATATCTGCATATAGTGACTCCATGGCAGCAGAAATCTGGACCTTTTCAGTTCACTTATAAAATGAATTAATTACTGAAAAAGTCTGTTTACCAAAATGAATAAATACAGCTAGACAACTTAACAGACTCATTCATTTTTAAGTATTAAACAAAGTATAAAGAATGCTGTGATTTTTCAGATCCTACTGCAAAGTGGAGATGTTACTTGCCATTTTGTCTACATGTATGATATTTGTCTTTCACATCCTTGCCAGTGCCTTCCTAACCTTCGTGATAACTAAGGAAGAGTTAACTTCATATCCTGGACTTTACCTTCCCCAGAAAATAGAAGAGAATCATCGTAAAATCCCAAATACAGAATCACTAAGGTACCCTGGAAATTAGTTACACCTGAACAGTCATTCAAAGGAGAGAGAATGTGGTTGCATCTTATGCTGAGAAGATAAAGGAAGGAAGAAAAATTCAGTGTAAGGCTCACTCCATTCCCTGAAACCATAGATGGTCTTCCTCCCATACAGAAAGATTTTGGAGAAAGTAGCAAGGGAAAATTTTCTTGCTGGGTACCCCCTCCACCTTCATGAAGGAATTTCAGGAGTGGCTTGCGTGGTTACAGGAATCTTAGTTTCACATGTAATGATTTCTCTGGGTTGTAAAATAATGAAGCATTCTTTCTATTCCTGGCTACTCCTGATTTACTCAACATTATACAGTACATCAGTCTAGCCCTAATCTGGAAGAAGGGCATGATAATTTATTTACCCTCAAGAAACCCCTACTGAATTTTCCAGTGGTAGGACAAAAGATTTTAGTATGTTAGAATAGAAGCCCCTTGCTATGAACAGGAAACATTCACAGGGGATATGACATAATTCTGTTGATTACCTGGGACCTCAATTACTCTGTCTGCAGGCTGCACTAGAAATCCTGGGGTTTAGCTTTAGTTTCTCTCTTCCTAAGATGTTCCCTATTAGTGTAAGCACTAGGCATATAGTTCTGTAGGTGTGCAGTCAACACCAAGCAATTACGTTCCCTGCTTTAAAGAAGCTTTATTATACACAGTGCTTACTTAGGGGAGAATACCATCTTTGCTACTAAGTACAAATGTAATGCATGATATCACTGTACAAGTTTGACCAATGTAGAAGAGCTTTTATTTTCCCATCAAGCAAAATGTTTGGGAAACTATTTGCAGAATGGTCATTTGCAAAGCCTCTACTGCACTCACTTCAGATATTTAAGAACTAGGAGACTTCATCAGGAACTGCTACTCTCAGCTGTGTCTAGATAATAATTTACAAGGATCTTAAAAGTTCCTTAGGAAACTCACATTCCTACCTCTGCAAAAGGTTCGTTCTTTCCATGTTTCTCCTGCAAACTTGTCAACATTTTGCTCCCAATTTAATCTGCATTTATATCCACTCAGGGTTGAATCCCATACAGTCCTTCTAGATGGGACTGTGTCCTTTAGAGATAAATTCTTCATTCTTGAAGAAGATGATAGATCAAAGTGAGCAATGCACTTAAGATGGCTGTTGGCTTTGTAGTCAGTATCACACTAAAGAACTTCAAAATAAATGGGCTCACATTTCCCAGGGCTTTGCTTAACACAGCAAAAAAGTTTATGGGAAACTGGATGTAAAATTAGTGGCAAACATTATCTTTCATATCAAAGAGATAATTAAAAAAAGAAAAGATGTAGTTGCCATTTTGCTAGGATACAAATCTGACATCAAAATGTTATGTGGCAACACATAAGCGCCACTAAGTCTGAAGGAAGAGACCTTCAAGTAGAAGAAAGGTTTGCAGCATTAAGTAGTTTCACACAAAAAACTCACCAAATACTGGATTAGAGCCAGAACACAGTAGTGCTACCAGTATTTTGTTTTCTATTGTGAGGCATTATACATGCCCACAATATTTCAAATATGGCTGTCATGTAGTAGATTGATTACATTAGTGCAAGTCTTCTCAAGTGTTATGATACCGCGGCTTTCTCAACATCAGGGAACAGTCACTCTTACAGATCTACTACATTTTTACCAGAAAATACAAGGATAATGACTTGAAATAGGAATGCCCACAGTAAGGCACATGATTAATAGCCACTGAGTAATAAAATCATTGCTGACAAAATATATCCAATG